GCAACACCATACTCGTCGAGCTCGGAGCTGCAAGAACTTCGAAAGAGAAAGCCACGCATTGGCAAAACTCGCACTGTGCGATTGAGATCAGCACAAATGTTTTTCTCCTAAGATTTTATCACTCAAAAATTAATCCTCAACACCAAAAAAAAAAGAAAAAAAGAAAGTTTTTGTTGTAATATTTGCAGTGCCGCTACGTGTTACTTGTGATTAGAAGTTGATAAAAATTTCATCAGAACTATATCAACAGCAGCGTACACCAAACATTTTGTTATACAGTAAAACCTCGTTATAAAGAAGTTGAAGGAGCGGTCGTAATTACTTTGTTATAACCATTAGTTTGTTATAGCCAATGTCCATTTCTTCCAACTATTCAAGCTAGGGGAATTATGATTGCTTTGTTATATCCATTTGTTTGTTATATCCCATTTTGTTATAACGAGGTTTTACTGTACTATACAGTAAACTTTCGTTAGTTTGACGTCGATTAACTCGACTTTTCGTTTATGTCAATCGTGTTAAAAAGACCCGGCGAGTGCCCATACATTTCTATGAGAGGAAAAGTTTGATAGTTCGAACTCAAGAAGACTCCGCATCGGATAATTCGCCCCGAGCGAATGCGCGCGGGCTCACATTGCACGGCGCCACGGCAGAAAAACCACCAACGTACTGCGAAACACGGACCCTTCGCTGCAATGTAAAGCTGAACATGCGCAAATATGCGCCTGCTCCTCTACATTGTTGAGATAGACCGTAGCGAATGACACGAGCCAGCGCAACCAATCTGGCGTGGAGTAGCGCGGAGAACATAGCACGTGGTTGGGCGTGGAGACAGCGCGCGCTCTCAAAGCACTTTTTTGTAATGTTAGCTACACTGGCCGAGGTTGAGCAGTTTCGCGTGGCCCTCATAATGAGCCGTGCTCATTATGTGAGCCATGCTCATTATGCGGAGCGCGCGGCAACTGCGGAGCTCCGCATAATGAGTATGGCTCGCATAATGAGCACGGTTCATTATGAGAGCCATGCGAAGCCGCCGCGGCGTGCTCTGCTGCCGCCGCGCTTGCCTCGCCCGCCTCGCCGGTCTGTGCATTCCAGAGGAGTGACATCATAGCCACGGCAGACCCACTGGCGCCGCCGCGTGCCCAGCTATGCGCCTCCGTTGCGCAGTAGCCAAGTCTGACGCTGCACCAGAGTTGCTTGATAGCGCCTCTCATTTTGTGCGCATAAGCTCACGCTACGTATATCCTGGCATGGCCGAGCTAGGCCGCCGCAATTTTTTTTTGTAGCATCGTGTGCGGTCTATCTTGCATGCAAGAAAGCGCGAATTCTCTTTTCCTTTTTTTGTTACTTTGCTTTGTTGCCGACGGTCTGGCCGCTCAGCGCCAAAGTCGGCTCGTAAAGCTCTCTGAGCGCGCCCTCTCAAAGCGCTTTTCTGTAGCATCGTGTGCGGTCCATCTTGCACGCCGGAAAGCGCAAATTCTCTTTTCCTTTTTTTTTTTTTTTTTTGTCATCTTTTTTTTGTTGCCAGTCGCTGCCCGGGGCCAAAGTCAACTTGTAAAATTTACTTTTTTTTTTTTAGAGCGCTCTTTTTGGAGATGTGACGTTTAGTTACGTTGCTCCGGAGCGTGCTTTTGGGCACGAGTTTTAAGCGCAGACAGCAGCAGACCATCCGTGAGTACTTTGGACAGTAAAAGGAAGTTTAATTTTAACCGTTTTCTGTGCTTTTTTTAATTCAATCATTCGGATAATTCGACCAAATTTCAAGATCCCGTCGAGGTCGAATTAACGAAAGTTTACTGTACCGTATATAGTTGGCTTGACTATGTCATATCTGTACAAATGTCTCACCGGGGTGGGGCCGATCTTTGCTTCCTCAAGACCAGCGCCTGGAAGGGTCACTGATGGGACTACCAAAGAGCAAATAATATATACAATGTGAGTTCACTAAATAAAAATTGTGCTGCGAACATTGAAAGTTACATTAAACGATACAAGTAATAAGCGTAAATCGTAAGCAATAAAATGTTTTAATAACTAAAAACACCAGGAACTATACTAACACTCACCAATGTAGGGCGCCTGCGTTTCTTGCTCTTGAGGGGCGTCTTGTGATAGTGATGGAACAGCTGAAGAACAATGGATATGACATGTGATTTTAGCAAATTGCATGTTGTCCCTTTAATGCTCTTATGTGGCCCTTTAATACTCTTCAACTGACAATGCCAGTATGAAGTCTCACCAATGTGGGTCCCCTGCAATTGTTGCTGTTGGGGAGCATCTTGCGGAGTTAGGGATGGCGCAACTGAACATGAGGAATGAAATATACTTAATTATAACAAATAAATTAGTTGACAAACAATATACAAGAAAAATATTGCTTTTTGAAAAGATTCACACGGTAATATAAAATACTATTCCTTACATGAACTGCAGCTGGCAGCCGACTCGGAACCATGCGCGAAGAACTCTACAAAATTAACCGAGGGATGAGCTCTTCGAAATGTGCAGGTCACGATCCAAGTTTGAAATGTGTTACCTTTGTAATATGCAACAAATCCTAAGATATAAACCCGAAGCTGTCAAATTAACTGAAGATTGCTCTGACAACAACTCACCTGGAGGAACCAGCCCTTGCAACGACGGATTAGTTACAAGAACGGTGGGGCACGTGTTTTTTCATAAACGAAACTTCCTAGGGCTTGCAAAGGCCGTAGCGCTGAAGTGCTCGCTGCACAGACGACGCTCGCGCAGCTTGCTCGTCGGCAGGCTTCCGAATTCCTTCCAATTTGCATAAGCAGTCCATTTCAATGCTCTAATGAAAAGATAGAGAAAGATCATATACTATTTCAATGCTCCCAGTTTCGAACGCTGACAAAAAAAGTTTGATATAAAGGCTCACCTGTCGTCTGTTGGAAATTGAAAGAATGAGCACTCCGAGTTTTTTTTTAAGTATTGTCACACCCCTTTGGCCGCGCAGCAGACACCGTAAACCCCCGCCATGAGACATGCAACACACTCAACAGAATAACTAGAGACGCCTCTATCTGCGCACAGCTTCATACTCTGTTGTGCTGTGAAATCTTCGGTTTTGGTTTCAACACGCGCAGAATGGTATGAAAGCTAGGAGCGACGCGCGCAAACAAAAAAAAAAAAAAAAAAAAAATACAAAACGGTTGTTTGCCTTGTTCTCGCCCTTACTGATGATTGGTCGGAAGAGCCCAGAGTGTTTCAGTTTCGGTTGCAAAGATTATATACACGATGCCAGCGCTCAAAAGTACAGCGGCAAATATAAGCATAACAGTCTGGTGTAATTCGATTGGGTAGACCAACGAATCTGTTCTGCGGATGGACGTACAAGAGAGAAGCCAGCAACACGGTGCGACGTATCGGCCCAACCGGGAACTCCGTTAGCTGGATTCTGCTGATGACATCATCACGATGACGTCATCATAATGATGATGATGAGGATGATGTCATCGTGATGACGTCATCAGTGACGTCACCAGTGACATCACACGTCCGATAATGCACCGCGCAGTTACGCCGACGGCTACGGCGACGCTGCTCAAGCCGGAAACGGGCGCCTAAGAGCTGCGCTCTAAAACAACGGCTGTGGACTGCAAGTAAAATTCTAGCAGCGCCATAAAATGGCCACAGTTAACACCCATAGAATTCTGGAACCCCACTTCACCTGACTGCATTATGCTCTCACAAACAGCGGTGAAAAGTCCATCATGAGAAACCGAGTAAAACAACTCTGCTACATCCACAGAAAAGGCTGTGGCCACATTCTGCAAACCTGTTTTCAAAACTTGAACAAGTTCTCCGGAACTTTGAACCAGAAAGGGATCGTCAATGACTAATGCTTTTAGGTGACGGTGCAAGTACCCGCTGACCCGATCCTGCCAGGTGCTCCTTTCTGAGACAAAGGCTCGTAAGGGACAACTAGGCTTATGAGTCTTGCCGGCAAAGAAGACCTCCGAAAAAAAACCTTTTCTTCATTGTTAACAACCTTTCTTATCCCACCAAAGTTCACGTCTTTGAGCAAGGTTAGTGCAGCAGTCTTTTGCTTCTTCGGGAGAAACTTTAGTTTTGAAATTTTTTTCAATATCCGCTAATGCCCCTTGTCCTGGAAAAAAATCTTCCTTCAGCTCAACAAAAACTGCCCTCCTTGTCAGTTTGTACCACAGTAAGGCTATTCTCCTTCATAGGGTCGACAGTCTTCCTAATAGGTGGTTTTTTCCTCGGTTCTTGACCTACAGTGTGTTTGAGACAGTCCACTCCTTCAGTGATGGCTTGCTCTCTGTCTTGTTCAATAATGCAGTCGGCAACCCAACACATGATGCCCAGTAACTCATGTCGCTTTGATAATGGTTCAGAGCTGTACTTCGGACTCTTTTCCAGAGTCATAGTGAAAGAGTGGACCGCCTCAGACACATAGACAAGACAAGAGAAGATGGAAAGGAAATTAATCTAAGCTTTTTGTATGAAAAAAGCGGCTGACAAATGCGCAAGCATGCCATCCCTTTATCTGCCGAACAAAGAAGTTGTGTTTCTTGATGCCTGCATGTGATTAGTGATAGGAACTTTTCTCTTGTTTGTTAGGGGCGTCTTCTGGTAATGGTGACCGACAGTTGGACGATGTTTGGTGCAATATTAAATCAGTTGGAAGTTGTTTCAGTTTGCGCCTTTTAACCTTTAATTGATATGCACCAACTAGCCCCAACCAGTTTTATTGCACCAGCTGAACATCTTCAATTTGTACTCTTTGTCAATAAGTAAATATAATCGATTGTTGTAGCATGACTTCTGTTCTAAATTAGCTACCAACACAAGCATTAACTTCATTTAAAGGGGTGCTTCTCGCTGCTCTCAAAACTATGTACTATCGGAAACAATATGAGCGTGAACGCGCCTCCGCTTGTCACCGCGAAAGCGCGTTCACGCTCAAATTGTTTTTGATAGTACACCACAATACCTCACCAAAGAATGTACCTCACCAAAAGCGACAAAGGAGTGAATGAACGGCTGGCCGCAGTTGACGCAGAAGTGACCCCGTGGGTTGACTAGTGGGTTTGTTGTGGAGCACCGATAGCACAAAGGCAAGAGGTCCTGCAACAAGCAAGTTACAAAAAAAAAAAAAAAAAGTCACAAAAAAAAGAATGGCAATGTTTTTAAAAAATGATTGCAATAGACTTTCTTAGAAACTCAGTGCCATATAGTGACTAAAATATTAGTCCAATTTTTAGCATGCTAATGGTGGCAAAAAATCTTGTACTATGCAGATACCGTCGGTTTCATAGGTCAACGCCAGACATTTGGGAAAGACGGTGTTCTTTGCCGTACAGTTTGTTATCCGCTTGCTTCAGTTTTGGAGATGACAAGAAACTGCTTGCCCGAGTAATATCCCTGTTTTACGGGCACATTAAAGGCCTTCAGAACAAACTCTTTTAAAGAAGCAGAAAATCAGCTCACGATCTTAGCCCTTGCTTGCACCCATGAGCATGCATTTGTTTGATGATTCTTTAGGGGAGTTAATTTTGAAGGCCTTTAACGTGCCTATAAAACAGGGACGTAAAACTCTCGATGTGGGTTGTGGGCCGGCGCGTGACAACTGATTTATAATACGCGAGTTTGAAAGGAATACTGGCACAGCGCTATTAATCGACATAGCTGCGTGGTGCGTGCCAAAGGCAAGCATTCTTAGGATTCACATTATGCGTTCAAATGGGTGGGTTTGTTATGCAGAGTGCAAGTATGTCGGCTGCTTGCGCAGAGGTTGCAGTGATGTCAGAATGCCAAGCTTTGACCGGCTCTGATGGAAGGATAATGTGTACCAGGCCTTTCAGTGCTAGCTACCTTGAGGTCTATCCACTATCCTTACCGATCGGGGCCAATCGGACGTCCTGACGTCACCGCAACCCCTGCCCAAGAAGCGGAAAAATTGGCGTTCCACAAAAGTCTCATCACGCTGACATCGAACAACAAGGTAGTGTACTAATGTCTAGAATGCTAAGGCTTCGTGTTTTCTGCACCGGAGCACGTCTTCAAATACTTATTTGGTCAGCCACTAAAAGGTTTCCATTAGCATGTACAGATGCCATACACTTGGATGCTAATCACCCCCCCCCCCCAAAAAAAAAAAAGAAAGAAAGAAAATAGGGTTCTTTTAATTACCCAAATAAACAATGCACCCTTGAACGCTCAGTTTTCACCAGAAACATGTAACGCTAGCAATCTGAACCGGATATCAAGGTTTAAAAAAAAACTGCTACCTTCTTCAAAAGTTGTAAGTGATTTTCACAAATTTTTAATGGGTCTAATTTGGTGGCCGACAAGGCCCGCGAATACGTAGGGCGAGACGGCATAAACTACAGAAAGCGGACCCATTTTTCTTTTAAAAGCTTTATAAAAACTCATATAACTTTGGAATAAGATAATGGTTAGTTCCGAAACTCTGACATCCGGTTTGTACCGCTATAGCGCCACATTTGGACGGAAACTAGGCGTTTGCCGACACATACTTTATTTTTGTGGCAGAAAAAAAACACTGTTACTTTTTTGGGGGGAAAGACACACGCTGTGTACTGGACTAGGTATTAAAATTGCTTCCGTTAGAGATGTGGGCGGCGTTCCGACGGACCTGTGCATCGCTGAAGGGCTTAGAGCGAACCGTGAGCGCGGCCAGATCCAGTGCTTCGCGAAACCGCACCGGAACGTTGAGGCCCTGAAGCCGCTCGTAGCAGTGACGGGCCAGGCGGTGGGCCCCCAGGTTGCGGCTCTGCTTGGAGAGTGCATAGAGGACGCCGCTGCCATCGCGGTCGGTTCAGGAAAGGAACGAAATTACCAGCGACCTTTATTCCCAAAGTCCTATGTGCATAGGATGCAGTATCAAACCCTTTAACAAGCGTTACATGTATGGTGGCCATTACATAATTTAAAACAATGCGAGTACAAAAGATGGGACGGCGCCGCTGAAATCTTTTTTCCCTGCCACATCAACCTTGAGTTAGCAAATGCTACATCGGCGCTAAAACTGGCACTGTTTCTAGCGCCGAATTAGAGTTGGATTAGCGATGCACCCTGTTGGATGAAGAGGCCTTCGTGGCGGTCTAGATTGGTGGTATCGCAGCTGCTATGGCACCTTAAATCTGGTATTGAGACAATGGCGGCCAACGAGCTGGTATTTCTGGGGACGGCCACACTTGTTACGAGGAAAATTTCAACAACAATCAATAAAAAGAAGCACTAAATTGGCAACTTCACTTGTAGCACCAAAAGCTCATTCACACACACAGCCCGATGCTAACCGAGTGCTGAATCAGCACCACAGAACCAGTGCCGATGAATCGCTGTCTTGAACATACGTAGCGGCGCTGTCTCGAACATAATTAGCGGTCAGGGATGGGCAGTATTTCAAATACAAGTATTTGAAATACGTATTTCAAATACTTTGTGTATTTTGCATTTGTATTTAATTACAAATTGGGTAATGTATTTGACGTGTGTATTTAAATACTAAAACGTGGGTATTTTAAATACAATTGTAATTAAATACAATTTTGTGGGCTAAAATACATCCCTCAATTTTAGTGTCATTGTCCAGAGTAGGAAGAAAACTACGTTCTGCACCGAATGCAGTGTCTCTCAATCAAGCACAAGCGTTTAGTGACTTTGTGATTACGGTGCTAGTCCAGAACAAGAATAGCGACGAAATCGACGTTCACAGGCAGACGGGCTAAATAAGTGCCTGTGACAACTTGTGATGCTTTCCAGCATGATTTCCATCCATATTTTTGCCTGGAACATTCTAAATGCGTGGTCGTCCAGATTTTCGTAACTGGTGCGAGTTGCAACAATAAAACATTCTCTAGCTAGTGCTGCGCGTCTTGGTCGTCTCGGTTCTTTGTTGGTCTATACCAAAATGTAATCGACAAAAAAAGCTGCTTGGAGCTCTTCTTTTTTCACCTATTACGTCCAAGCTGATTACATTTTTTTGTGATTATATTTCTATTACGTTACTAGAGCCTCGCACACTAGCTCACGAGTGTGCGGTGCATAATTAAAATGGGATACCCAGAAACCCGTTGCAGGTGCCTTGAAGTCGCTGACGCAAATTTTGCGGAATGTATTTGGAAAAGTATTTGGAGGAGACCAAATACATTTGGTTGTATTTGTATCTTGTACTTAAATGCTTTTTTGGAAATGTAATTAAATTTGTATTGAAATACATTTTTGACGAAGTATTTTGTATTTTTATTTCGATACATATTTGCATGTATTTGGCATATCCCTGGTCTATACCAAAATGTAAACGACAAAAAAAGCTGCTTGAAGCTCTGTACGTTTTTCACCTATTACGTCCAAGCTGATTACATTTTTTTGCGATTATATTTCTATTACGTTACTAGAGCCTCGCACACTAACTCCAGAGTGTGCGATGCAAAATTAATATGAAATACCCAGAAACCCGTTGCAGGTGCCCTGAAGTCGCTGACGCAAATTTTGAGGAATGTATTTGGAAAAGTATTTGGAGGAGACCAAATACATTTGGTTGTATTTGTATCTTGTACTTAAATACTTTTTTGGAAATGTAATTAGATTTGTAATTAAATACATTTTTCACGAAGTATTTTGTATTTGTATTGCAAGCATTTGTGTTGCAAGCATAATCAATGCAAAGTTTCTGCGACAGAAGTTGCTGCAAGGTAATGGTGATACCATCAATTAAATCATACTGAAAAGAGCACTAGTGTGGGGCGAGGGGACGACGGTGAGTTAGTCTCCGTGTGTGTGTGTGTGTGTGTGTGTGTGTGTGTGTGCGTGCGTGCGTGCGTGCGTGCGTGCGTGCGTGCGTGCGTGCGTGCGTGCGTGCGTGCGTGCGTGCGTGCGTGCGTGCGTGCGTGCGTGTGCGCAGGGGTGGAACTCATGAAATGTATTTGGGAGCAGCCACGGGAGCAGCTGAAACCGCTGTTTTGGAGCAGGTTGGGAGCAGCTAAAACTACATTGTGGAGCAGGCTAGGAGCAGCTCAGATCAGCTTTCATTGCACTTCAGCTTGTGTCTTAGACGAGCACGGGAGCAATTTCAATTGTGCTTAGCAGCACAGATGAACATGAGTGGTTAGGGACCTAGGTAATGGGATAACAGTGTAACAGATGCCAAAACTTGAAACTTTGTGAGCCTTAATGAGAATCAAAAAGCAAGTACCATATGTTTCTGAAGATGGTGTCCTTGATATTTTCTGAGTGGCTTTCAGCTGCTCAAAATGCAAATCAGCACTGCTTATCGCACAACCCCTACGTGTTCAACAGAGTAATCATATGTGCGAACCACGTGACGTGCGTAAGCAACGGACGTGCAGTTGCGTGGGGGAACAGGGCAACACATTTCGAGTTTATCCTATTGTGCAACTCAATATCGAAGCAGCAGACTACAATTAACGGAGTTATCATATTCAAAGCGATTAGCGGGAGCAAGGTTAAAGTACGCCGAGCAGATCTACCGCACGCGTGACAGCAGCTGGCAGGCAAGGTTCCGGATCGGACCGCGTTTCAGTTCTATCAAATCGCAATTATCTTGCGGGAATGCTGTTTCAACTTCTAACGATGAAGTACTAAAAGGAGTATTTTGCTCATTTGTTTTCAATTGGCTGACGTCCGGATCCCGGGCTGCAGAGCCTCAGGCAATCTGACGCTTAACGACTCGACCTCACCTCGGTCGACTTGCTTAACAGCTTATGGTTGAAAAATAACAGTCCAGTCGCAGGTGTAGCGATTCGAATCCGATCCCCGAGTTTTTTCGCGCGCTTCCGACTCGGGATACACAGGGAGAATAAACAGAACAAAGGATTGCAAGGCCGACCAAGCTAAACGGGCTAATTGTTGCCAATCGAGTCGATAGGAACCGAAACCAGGACAAAATACTTTTTTGTTTTTGGCGCACGTTGTGCGATTTGGTGCATAATGGCGCAAGGTATTGGCTGTGGCGCAGTTTCCGTGAAATGGCGCAGGATGGCGCAGACAAATGCGTCTGGCGCAAAATGGCGCAAATGGCGCAGCCGTTCCACCCCTGTGTGTGTGTGTGTGTGTGTGTGTGTGTGTGTGTGTGTGTGTGTGTGTGTGCGCGCGCGTGTGTGTGCGTGCGTGCGTGTGTGTGTGGGGGGGGGGGCTAAAACATTTAGCTTTCATCCTTTATCGGTATTCTTACATTCAGTGGTAAAAACATGCAGTAGCAGCAGCGTAAAGATACTTCGAGCCAGATGAGATTGTTGCAAAAGGATACACAAGAGAGACGCCCCGTACGGAACGTCCCGTCAGCTCGTGGAGGAGGTAGCGCGACATGTTGAAGAGCGCTTCGGGCAGGAACGCGGTGAAGGGCTCCTCCTACGAGGGAAAGGGACAAATGCAATGATGTTACATGGGTGAGAGAACTACCAGGTTTGTCAGCGAAAAAGAAACCTGGCCGTTTGGCCCGAATAAAAAACTATGCATCACAGGAAGCTGAAACTGTGTGAAAATATGATGCTAACGAAGGCAATAGAAGGCAATAATTTTAGATTATGACATTACTTGGATCAAAAAATTAAACGGAGAAACAAAATTTCTTCAAGCTGATGTCCGCCCTAGCATAATACTCGTCAAACCAAGAAATGACATTCTGGGAACCTGAAGCATTCATCAAAGTGAAAAACACGTCAGCAAAAAAGACTATTGTTTACTTCGTCGCAGACAAGTTTCTTCTTTTTACTGAAATAAAAGCTGCAGGCGCCTGGAATGCCTTTTCTTGGTTTGAAAAATAAGGCTTATGTGAACGTCAGCTCCAATGAAATCTATTTTTCCATCTCATTTCTGGATTTAGACATGCTCTCAAACTTTTGCATCCTAACCGCGCCGATAGCTAACGACACATTTCCATGGAGTTCAAACTTTCTGCTATGCGTAGTTGATTTATTCCGGCCGAAAAACCAAGTTTTTTTTTCTCTCACGGACTCGGTAGCTTTTTTGGCGGCCCTAGCGGGTAACAACTCGTTGGCAGACTCACAATGTAGCGGTGAACGTTGTGATAGACGTAGTAGATGTCGGCGAGGTTCAACAGCTCACTGTAGCGCCTCAGAAGCGGTTCCCGGGTGACAGCGTCATCTGTCGTTAGAGAGCAATTGCGAGGATGATGTCAAGACGTGTTGATACCGGTTGCAGTCAAGGCAACATGTAAGTTACATGTATAGGATGCTGGTTTTGCAAGACCGAGGGTCATGTATTGCCACAGATGTGCCTTGGCAAAAAACACGTTAGCAAGCTCGAATCGGAACATCCCGTTTTTCCGGCTAAATACCCATAGGCTAAAAATTCCAAAACATCGCTCAACGGCATCACAGAATGTCCGACAGAGATCACATAAACTGTGCAATCTGCGATGTTGGTATTATGACAAATGAACTTCGAAGGGGGTTCCCACGCTCTCGTCGCATCGTAAAATGCAATCCTGCTGCATCTGCCATCTAGAGTATAAGTTTCCATTACACAGGAGTTCGTAGCAAGTTCCCGCTTGATTTTCAGACTGTGGAATGTGAATCTGCGGTGTCTGTAATCGGTGGTATCAGTTCTCGTGTTATGGGGTTCATAGTGGCTACCTGGTGATTATAATAAACTTTTGCTGTCTCATTCCCAAAGATTGCCCACCCGATATTTTTCACCGTTTATCTCTTCAAAATGGGTGGCCGTTCATACGGTATTTCACGGTATATCAAACACGCTTGATGACAGCTATGCCCACATTGTTAGCGACATGGGCACTTTGTTTCAACATGTTCTTTTACAGTAATCCCTGGTTATAATGAAATTGCTTTATCCGAATTACCGCTTTCATCAAAGTTCAACGTGGTCCCGCTAAATTTAGCTAATGGCGCCACTTCCATCTTGCTTCTATTGACACGATACAGTGAGAGCCACGGCTGAGGCTTCGCGAATTCAACTTCACTTGCATTAGAATGCATTATGCATCAATAAATTAGAGAAATTTCCTGAGCACTCACCGACTGCACCTGAGGATTCGACAATCTGCTTGGCGAGGAGCCAATAGTAATAACTCGCGTCTCGGAAGCGGCACTCGTCCACCGCATACTGCGTCAGGCGCTCCAAGACGCGCAATGCCTCGTCTTGCAGCCCGGCGTCGTAGAACGCTGATACCAGGAAAGACGAAAAATAAAAGACACACAAAAATATTTAAGCATGTCTCGATCACACCCGATAACTCGAAGATGTGCAGTGTGTGTTGCGATGATGAATGTAAAGTCACATGACGTTACAATGTCCTCTGTGTCAGCCAAGTGTAACATGGCACTTTTCTCATAAAACTTAGTCCTAAAGCACATTCCGTGCTAAAACATGGTGACATTAAGCGGTCATAAAGAGAAACATTAAAGTGACAGACATATAAATTTTCAAATTTAATCCCATGTTTTATGATGGAAATAGATGCAAACATGTAAACATCCACAAAATCGCAGTAAAATGACAAGGCTTTTCCATTGTAGTGAGTTTCACAGCTTTTGAAAATTTAACACAATGTTAGGATGACAAACTTGTAGGACGACATTCCGGGAATTAGCTGACCTAATCAATCGACTGCGTAATGTATTTTGTAGGCATTTTCAAAGAGTGGATTTAAAGTTTGAAGGCAATATGAAGCAAATAGTGCTTTTGACCGAGTATTTCAGAATCCAATATTGAATAGCTTTTCTAAAGCCTTTCGATGCTGTTGATCCATACTTAAACGAAAATCCCGCTGAACTCGGGAAGGTTCCATTCAATTCAATGTTTTATTCAGACAACATATACATTAAACAGTTGTCTAGGAAGCCGTCGCAAAAGGAAACACGAATGCCTGACGAGGCGTCGACCCCTCCCCTCTTAAATGCACCCCCCATCACATCACTCAGCGAGCGCACGAAGGTTGTTCCAAAGTTTCCACTTGACCCCTTCTAAGCTCAGTTAATTTTAATCCCACAACATTTATGAACTGCAGCCTCAGAAAACCCAATGCTTACGTTCGGGTGGCAAGTAAATGACGGATTCGAAATAAAATTAAACCTATAAATATTCCGAGCTATACCTCATTGGCAGGATTTATACATATATCTTCTTGGTATATGCAACTATCCTTTCTTTACTCTCAATTTGGAAGGAAAAAAACAAACTAGTACGAATGATGACCTCAGATTGTTAGGACATGCTACGTAACATACTCTTGTGTAACAGCCACATTAAAAAATGTTGAAATCAACATTCAGAAAGTTTCCTTTTTTTTTTAAATACCCCAGGCGAGCATGTTTACCGCTTTGAAGGTGTGATTTTCTCCTAAGCATGCCGATGCGCAGTGGCGAAGCGAAGTTGGCGGGATTGCGGTGTCAGCTCCGAGGGTATTGCGCGTCTCACTTTGCAGTGCACCGGTGCGCGAGGAGAAGAACATTCATCAGGGCTAACACGCCACGATCAACACCTAGAAAATTATGAATATTGCAGTTAATCTCAAAGCAAATATTGAATAGCATATTATTCTAATCTACTATACATTCGACACTTCAAATATCTGCATAACCCTAGCATCTTGATATGCAACCTCTAGGCTCATGTCTTCAACATACCATTGAAAAGAAGCTTGAAAAAAATTGCTCAGTCGAAAAAAATGTATTTGTTATATATATCGGTACCTGCTGTAACTTGGGTGACAGTGGCTGAAACAAATTAGGAGTTAGACGTTTAGACAGCGTGAGGTAGGTCTGCCATAGTACAGCAACAATGGTTCGTGTTGTAAATGAGAAGTTTAGCCAGTGCAGAACTGGCTAAGAACCCAGACTGCTAGCCTGGGTTCATTAGCATCCATCGTGCAGATAGTGATTAGACGAGAACACGCCAGTAAGACGGCCATCCAGATTGAAACAGGCAGGGATGGGAATCAAAGCCTGCATCCCTAGGTTCCGGAGTGCGAGCTTTCGCTTGACCTCTCCGGGCTGTGGTGCATGAACACGAGGCAGCCAAGTCTCAACGATTGCGCATTTTCACCTTTCTGGGCATCCACGAAGCGGTCGTTTTCTGCAAGCCAGTTGGCGTAGTTGGCGCAAATCTTGGCCTTTAGCTCGGGTTGTTGCCCGACTGCTGCAAATGCCTGCAACGAGACGAGGCTACATTGATGTCCCTGCTCCTCAAACACCGTTATCATATGGGATGAAGCACAAGAGAGCTAGAGAAGATAACACTGGCTGGAAACATGCCTGAACTTTGGTGAGCATTGCCGATGCAGCTTACCCGAAACATAGTTGGAAGTCATGCTGCAGGGAATGGTTTCATTTGTGACTAAAAAAGGGGCCCTACTTTAAAAAGATGCACAATCTTACGTGCCAAAAGTACCATATTTCACCAGGTTGTAGTCCACACTATGTTTATATGGTTTGTTCCCCAAAAATTCTAGAGAAAACGGAGTCTTGAAGAAGAAAAGATACGAGCGTGAAGATGTGGGTATTTACTGGCAGCCATAATTGAGTCTGTGGCTGGCAAGTGCATGCTGATGGCAAGTTTCCATGGTGCTTCTGTGACGTGCATTCAGCATTGTGAAAAGTGCCATTTTTAACAAACGATATGTGATAACTTATTCTAGGCAAGTACGAACAAAGCAGTTAAGTATGGTGTCCAATGAGCACCTTCTTTATATCATCGGTTGCACAATTCTCCACTCGCAAGGTCTTTAAAAAAATATTTTCACAGAAACTGTTTATTAGGTTAGACTGGCACTTGTTGCCCATGTGAGCCGTATAGAACGACCTCCCTCCCAATATGCCATAAACTTTAGTGTTGTCTAAAAATGCCGTCAAAATTCGTGGAAAAAGCTGTCCCAAAATGCACACACACAGAAAAAGGTCATTAATGACCTCTAAAACAGTTATAACATATGAGTCAGAGTCATTGTTTATTAGAGCACATGGACAGATTCTATTGAGTGATCCTTGATGAACAGCATTGGGATTAAATAGATGACTATTTGGAGCAAATTTGTTGGAACTTGGATTAAATTACTGGCATTCCAGATGAAATTGGTGTGCAGCTAGGTTACGTTCAGGAATAATCGACAAAAGCCAACACTTGGAGGACTACGAGCAAGAAAACCTGTAGTTCCTCCAATCCCTTGCAATGCAAGAATGTCTTCCGAGCTTGCAGACGACGAGATCAGTTAAAACGAACAAACGTGACTCCTTCAATTTTGTTTTTTTTTCTCTTGACATAAAGGAAGACAGGACGCACCTCGTCCCATTGACCGGCCTCGACGTACAGGTTGACCAATCCCTCGCTGTCTCCAGACCGGCGAAAGACGTCGGCCGCCGCCGAGAGTTCTCCCTTTTCGATGAGTAGCTGGGCGCACAGCGAGAGGGCCGCCTTTTCGCGCTTGTCCAGTTTCTGGGACAAGTCCACCAGCCTGCATATTCCCAAGAAACATGAAGTACCTAAGTAACGAAATACCGAAAAATAGAAAGAACTACAGTAAATTTTTATGGGGTAGACGAAGGCATCTGCACATGAGTGAAACAGCTGGTTGCACAATGTGAAAGCCTGAACTTGCAGGCAACCACCTGACGTCTCGATCAATCTCATCCCAAACTTTCTATGCAAGAAACCGTTCTTGTGGTGTCGGGAAGGCATCTTCGACTGGTGTGCTTACTGCGTGCCTTTATTTTATACTTTGGATTTGCAACTAGTGACATAACAACTCCGTGATGCTGAGGATTGCTATGACCTTGGCTGTGATGCAGCAACACGGTCGCAGTGATACGTTGAGATTCAGAAGATGCCTGTTGTGCTGTAACTCGCTTCAGCAGGGCAGGCCAGTCGATAGAAACACCAACAGCAAAAGGTTTGAGTGCCTCGACGACAGCGCTGCCTGCAATGCATAGGCAGCGTAGGATGCCAAACGTTCCAGCCAAGGGTCCTGCTCTAAGCGGCATCCTCTTGCTCACAAAATCTGAACTCAGCCAAGTCACACACCAGAGTCTAGACTCACCTGAACTCAGCAGAGTCACGCATCAGAATCAAAACTCATCTGAACTCGACGAAGTCAAGCATCACAACATAAACTCACGCAAACAAAGCAAACTCATGTATAGAATCTAAACTCACCCAAATTCAGCACAGTCACACATCAGAATATAAACTCATCTGAACTCGACCGTCATACATCGGGATATAAACTCATCTGAACTCTGCAGTCAAGCAACAAAATGTAAACTCACTTAAACCCAACCAAGTCAAGCCTTAGAATCTAAACTCGTCCGAACTCGGCAGAAATGCACGTCAGAATATAAACTCACACGTCGACCCATCCCAGGCGCCCGGCGATGTCCACCGCCTTGAGAGACTCTCCGGCCAGCAGGTAGAACTCGGCAGCTGCCCGGGGGTCATTGACGCTGCGCGCCCACTCGGCCTTCTTCAGCATCAGCTGCCGCGTGTCTAGGGTGTCGTCTGAGCCAAGGTATTCCTGCCGAGAAATGCCGTTTCCGTGCGACGTCAATTGGAGTGCAGAGCAGCGGTCACCGACGGCTTCAGAAACGCAGGGAGCGACGAGTTCCGGGCATCGTCTGATAAGGACGCCGAAGAATCACAGTGCAATCCACTTATAAAGATACCGGATGTGATGATGTAGTGCTTATAATGATCAGTTTCAGTTTCTAGATTAGAAATGCTCAGTTTCTAATCCAGATACAGTGACAATTGGTTAGAATGATTGAATTTGCAGGTTTTCTTATTATCGTTTTTAGTGGATTGCACCGTAATCCCAAATTCAAAAGCATGATTATGCATGGGCCATGCCACACATTTCTTAAGCCGCCAGTCACAATAGCGATTCCAATTACGTTCCCCTAATGAGGGCAACAAAGCGAAGCAAAGACGATGGGAGAAAACTTTGCCCAGATGTTGTGTTCGAGATAACTACAATTTAAGTGTGAACGTTTTTTACAAAAGGCCACCTAGTTAGCGGAGTAGCAATGATACGAAGAGCTGTAAGAGCCTGTACCTTAAAAAATAACTGAAAAGAAAAAAAGTGTATTTTTAAACAACCTAATTGGAACAAGCATGTCACAAAACAATTTTTCCGCCAAAAACAAAATTTTTTACAGCAATATTTATTGCGCTAGACCGATTTCAGCTTGCGGCTATTTCGTCCGTTTTAAATCGCGCGCCACAAAGTTGGTATTATACGTCACGTAGTGACTGCTATACGTCACGGAGTGACGTATAACAGCCACTTTGCGCGAGTCGAAAGAGCGGGAGTTTCAAATGTGAAGAAGTTGTGACATCAACTAAATTACGTCCTGTGGCGTAAATATCGCTAGAAAAAATTTGTTTTTTCGTGGAAGATTTGTTTTGTGACATGCTTGTCCCAATTAGGCTGTTGAAAAAAACATTTTTTTCTTTGCAGTTGCCCTTTAAAACCGGTTCACAGACTTCTGTATGAGTGAGCAACTGCGTTGCAACCGCTTACGACAGCTTAGCACGAGAGATCACACTGGCGCCATCTGTCGGGCAACCCTGGAACACTTCTGACCTGCATACAGGGTCGAATTCGAAGACACCGATAGTACAACGTGTGCAGTGCGTAAGGAGGAGACAGAAACAATTAAGCATGTCATTCTAAAATGTAAGGAGCTTAGTTTGGCCCTTCCCAAGGGGGTGACAGACATACCGGTGGCCCTCAGTTTCGCTGGAAAAGTTGGAAGGGTGGATTATATAAAAGAGTAGGGGCAGTGAAGAGGAGATTGGAGTGCTGGTGGAAATTGTCTAGGGAAGATAGAACTGAGTACAACTAACACGGCTGGGGGGCAGGCGGGACAGAGGAAGATTGGGACTCCCTCCCACATGGCTCCGGCCCAAAGTCTCAACCCTGTCTCCCAGTGGGTCCGGTGCTAAATGACGCTGACAACGTTTGACCAGAGAAAAATTGGCGGCTCCCTTGCCGGGGGCAGGAGGCAGGGGTGATGTTTTTTAGGTTTTTTTCCCGATCCCCCAAAGGTCTGCCTGGCGAACATCTTCATGACCTACTGATACAGTCGAGCCCGGTTATATCAAACTCGAGTATTTCAAATTATTGTTTATATCAAATAGACCAAACATCCCCTTGAAAATCACATGGAATACTATAGCAGCGCTGTCTTTTTATGTCAAACTCCCATGGCGGGGACACTCGATATAGCAAACAAAGCTCGGCTGCCCCTTGCTATTCCCGCGATCCGACTGCGCGGTGGCGAGCACATCACCCGCATTGCGTGGTTGGCAGACGACCAGGCCAGCATACACGCGGTAAGATATGCAGCAAAAGAGCAGTTATAAAAAAAAACAATAAACCGTAAAAAAAGAAAAGTGGAGGATGGCAAAAGCAAGGGGAAGGGCACGCGCATAGGAAGAGCAGGGAGTGCTTGCTGTCGAAACGGTAGCCTGTGCCCTTTCCCCGAACACTGCTGATGCTGCGCAACTCCCTAGCCCCATAATAAAAATAGCAAAAAAAAAAAAAACAACAGTCTTCGGCAAGTCAAGTGTGTCGACAACAACGGCTGTGCAATCACACTTTGAACGCCTTATCTTTGTCTACCTTCTTTTTGCCATTAATGCTTTGACCGTTTTTTTTGCTTTTTTTTTGTTTGTTTGAATTTAGTGAGCATTCTTTTTTGTTGTCTACTTAACTTCTTTTTATGATTTCTTTTATGTGTCTCGCATTTCTGCTTTTCTTTCTTTCTTTTTTTTTTTTTTTATTATTTTCATGTTTTGTCGCTTATGCTGTGAAGAGGTCCCGGCCAGGCACACCTGTAAACACGGCGGTGTTTGCGGTCTCTGTTAACTACGCTCTACTGTCTTTAGCAGCTCTTGGATGCTCTATTTGGTAAGCTCCCATTTGTTCCGACCTTCAATATTAGCAGAGACGCCAGAAGCTTTCAACTCGAGCTGAATTTAACATATTTTTGTATATCAAATTATTGATATATCAAACTATTTTACAATCAATTCAATATATCCGGGTTCGACTGTAGTTAGAGGAACGCATTGGCTTGAAAGGGGAAATCAGGTTTTTGTGAACAAAAAGTTAGGGCACAAACAAGCTGGTGATGGTTTAGCATTTTAGACAAAACCCTGCGACTGGCGGGAAAAGAAGGACAACACAATACAAAGTCTCAAATGCAGCTGATATTTATTGGACAGAATATCGTGGTTTTATAGGGTACAAGTGCCCCGAAAACCAAAAAGAAGAAAAAAAGGGGGAGGGGGTTGAACTTCTCCTTCCCGAACGCACAAGAGAGGGAGGACATTGATCTATAGCACACCGGCACTGTTTTCACTCAAACAGAAGTGGGGAGGGGGAAGATCTCTTATCCCACCTCGGTACGGAGTTGAAAAGATTTCTACAAATTTGATTGTTTGGATTTCACTTTTATATCTGTGTAGGATGTTGTTTGTTTGGGTTTAAGTTTCACCCCTGCCCCTTTTGCTTCGGGTGTGACAAATGTCAGAGGATGTTTGTCTTTGTCCATGTCTGGTCTTTTATCTGATGAGTCACCTTCTCGCAGCCCTTTCTTTTGTGATGTGTGTAGGGACCTAACCGAGGACTCAACAAGGTCTCTCAGTGGGACTGGTGATAGGATAACGCCGATAAGGTTTAACCAGAGGAAAATAGACCGATCTCACCAAGCGTTCAGTGCATGCGTGACGCCGCCATAACTTTAGTTCACAGGAGGCAGGCTGCAGTGCACAAAACGGCTCGTGTCGTCTCGTGCTCTACACGCGCAAAGGTCCAGTGTGGTTGTCGCACGTGCAGAAAGACTAAAGTTCCCTCGATGCATTGCGGCAACGTAGTCAAACTGGCTAGTGAGATCGTTCTATTGGCGATTTCCTCAAGGGGGGAAGAGGCAAGGGGTGATGTTTTTAGTTTTTTTTCGTCCAATCCCTCAAAGGTCATTTTGGTGATAGTATAGACCCGTTGCTCTGGGGCAGAGGGTGCGAGCGCATCCGGAAGACTTACACAAGACGCGATCATGTTATGCTGGATGCACCATTCGTGTGGTGCTTTAACGTTCGATTTTGCACGTGCCACATTTGAATACAGTAAAACCTCGTTATAACAAAGTTGAAGGAGCGATCGTAATTATTTCGTTATAACCATTAGTTTGTTATAGCCAATGTCCATTTCTTCCCTATTAGCAAGCAAGGGGAATTATGATTGCTTTGTTATATCCATTAGTTTGTTATATTCCATTTTGTTATAACGAGGTTTTACTGTACAAGCATCTGTCAGCATCTGTAAATGCGCGGTAACAAAACGTCTAAAAAAAGTTGAAAAAAGGAAAAAAAGAATAGAATTATGCAGCTCGTGGCCGCAGCCTCCCATTAAACATTCCTTTCATCTTTGCTTTCTTTCATAGCTTCTGCGAGCATGTATATATTTCACTTTACGTGATAGCGAAGCCGAAGCTACTCGCAAAAGCACGTCCTCCTGAACAATACTCGCACTGTACGAGCATGCGTGCTTGGCAGGGACGCTGAAAGCTCGCAGCTCGCTCTTGTAGCCTCTGCTACGCTGGCACTTAGAATGGAACGGAGTATAAAAGACTGTAATGGGGAAGTGAATTGATGCATGTTCGAAACGCAAGCCAAATATTTAATGTTGCTCGCTTGGAGTGCTGCTCAAAACTTGAGAGCTACGGGCCTATACCACACCACCTGGTGATAGTTAGGGCGAGAAAATTGGCATAGATGGGTGGGAGGAGAATCATATGTTTGTCTTTTTACATTTATGCTAGGTGGTGCAAGATATTGCTTGTTACAAAAGGTACAGCCATTAACATCCATGCACATATTTCCTGATTGCTTACACATCATTCTTTCCTAGAGGCTCGAAATAAATTTGACAATGTTGTAAGCAACCATTTCCCATAGAAGATTCAATCTCGCAAATACTGCAAAACCTTGAGTCTAGTTACGCGCAGTTTCTTAGCTGCCCGAAAGTATGTTCTCTTGTCGTAAGCGGTCACGACGGATTCGACCATGCTCGAACGCAAATGTGTGAACCGCCTTGTATTAAACAAAAACAATCACTTTGCGACGTTCATTCCGTGAATAACTACGGAAGAATGTCAATGACACGAGAACAGAAGAGAATGAACGACTGGCAGTGTTTTGCCACGAGGGTATATGTACCAACGAATGTCAACCTGTGGACGTATCGATACTATGTGCTAGCGTGCAAAAACGTAAATAATATCGACTCGAAGGCTTCCAACTGGCTCACCTGGGCCAGGTCAAACATGCGAAGATCCGTGTACATGCCGACGGCCTTTGAGTTGCGCCCGGCCTTGCAGTAGAGCTTGGCCGCCTCGGTAAAGCGTCCCTGAAAAGCCAGGATGTCTGCCCGCAGGGCCTCTTTCTTCTCTCCCCTTGCCTCTTGTTCCTGGGGAGAAAGGGTGCCGCGCAACGTCGGAACGCTGGCACGCAAGGTGCACGGTGCCAAAGTGTATTTGTGCTGTAAACATTTGCCAACAGAGTAAGGTAATCTTTCCCCTTTGTGGTATCCTGATGTGCGAGACACCTGTAATCGTGTTCCATGCACGTTTGGACGGCAGAAAGTTGGTGAGGCCCGACGGGCGTCTTGTTCTCTTGCTGTAGGCGAGAAATTTAGCCAGTGCAGTACCACTGCCACCCAGGGGTATTTAACGTGCATCACGCTGTAGCGACGCACGACCGCATGCCAGTATGATGCTCGTCCAGATCGAAACAGGCAGAGGTGGGGATTGAACCCAGGATAAACTCAATAACATGCCCAAAAAAGACCCAAAATGCCACATTTATTGACATAGATATTTTCCCTCAATTTTATTGTTCCGTATGTCCCCTGCTTTTATTTGTGATGTTACAGAATAGCGCACTGCTTCCCGGATTACTCGGCTGTTGGCATGTGCTTAGATTCCTATTAGTATATCAATCTATCTATAGCTGTTTAAAAATAAAACCTCCTTGTTGATGCACGTTACATTTTTGTTTTGCTGCACGGATGTCATGTTTCAACATTGGTTACCAGTTAAACATCTCAAAAAAGATTGAGACGGGAAATTTTCGCAGTCTTGAAAATGTTCTTTCAGAATCCAGACAACTGTGTATCTTTAAAAATGTGCTTTTTGTTTCATGTTTCCATTTGTTGTGTGTCATCACTGACACGCAGCTTATCGAATACAAGTCTTACTCTTGAACCCTGTGCCTTTTCTAACACTAAACATAGCTTACTTTGCAGTATTCTCGACACAGCTGGTTGTGACGCTCCAACGGTGGCTTCTCCATGCACCCTGCACCACATGCTCTACGAGAGGAATCACACTTCATGATTCCTCTCAAAAATTGATTGCTCTTCCAGTTTGCGTTCATACCCCCCCTTGGTCGCCTACTATGCGTGAAGCAGACGATGCCACAGCACTTGCCAATGTTACAGAGAGTGGTGTTCACGATAGTACCTCTCCCTGTGGTCAGGCATGTAGCTAGGGAGAGCAACTACTTCTCAAGAGAAGCTATGTTGCAGTATTCCTGCCTGTGGTTCATTTCTAGGGAGTAAAAGCTAAACATAATGATGGCCCCAAAAAAGATGTGTCTTTAGAATAAATTTTACCAGATTGAGTGCAATAAAAAACTGCTTCATTTTAGAGGGAGCACCTTTCTATAGTGATGTTATATAGGCTTAACTGGAGAATAAAATTTCAATACATGGACAATCTTTTTTCTCTTTTAAACAAATTGGTTCCAGGATTATTAACTACATTTAACAGTATGCTCCATCAAAATACTGTAAGTGGCTATAGTAGAGGTTACAAATAAGTAGGGGTGTGCGAATATTCGAATCTCAAATACTTTGCAAATAGTGCTTGCTATTCGAGTCGATTCACACTTTTACTATGTGAAGTATTCGCATTCTTTGAATATTCAAAAACTATGAATACCGTGGAACTCACTGATTACCCTAATATTCCGAGATAGGCCACCTAAAACTGAGACCGAATTGGGCAAAAATAAGGAGTGGACTAACTTTCAAGGTACATGTAAGAAAAGTTGAAAAAGCACTATTTTTAGATCATGTTTTCCTGCCAAACTTGTTATTGCAGTGAGGGACAATGAAGCTAAGATGACTGTATGTCCGAGTCAGCAATGTGCGCTTATATCCCACCATAGCTAACAGGCCACATTTACACCGAGGTCATCATTAATCCGAACACTAAGATTTATAGGAGTGGGCTATCTTCCGGTGTTTAAAGGAAAATAGCAAATCAAGTTAAAGATAGGGGTGGGTTACCCAAGCAGCGCACATGGACCCCCGGATATCCTTAGGATGTCCTGACGTTCCAGGGATGTCCTGTGGATGTGTATGGGACATCTGTGCTGCTAGGGTATCTCTTGGGGGTGGGGCATCTCGCGAAATATTACGGTAGTTTCAACTCGCAGTCGCATTCCATGTTTGTTTTTGGACTGTGCAGTAAGGTATTGAGCTTGGCAAACCCAAAAAGCCAACCTAAGCGCCTTTTTCTTTTTTATGAAGCGCTGGAAAGTTATTTGCACACGGTAGTGCAATCTGCCCTTCGCTTGCTGCGATGTCTGGATTGGAAGATGGCAAAGTGGTCGTGGCGCAAACATGACCGGAGTCATCGCCGCAATAGATTTGATGAAGGACTATGATTTGCAACAACACATGCATTGTCGTGACTGCAAACGCCACGGACTACAGTCACTACAGTAGCCGAGGTGCTATAGATTTGGATATGGATTCGGTTACCATCGTTGCCGTGATGGATCTAGCTGCTTGTGTTATTTTCCGATTAAATTTTTGGTTCATCAGTTTTCCAGTATTCCTTTAGTCATTTATTTCTACCTGTTTGCACTGGTAAAAATGACCGACTTGCCCTCATAGCCAAAAAAAAAAGCCGCAGTCTTAATTTATACTTTCTTTGAGGTGCCCACTCTCGGCAGAGCTATTGCGTGCGGAAAGAGATAGCACAAGGTTAGTGCGATTGGTGTGATTGCGCGGCACAATTGCCCGATCTCAAACTTTGGTCTGCCGGCCCCACTCCGCTTGTGTACTTTCATTTACGTTCTGTAACTTCACCCCTTGAATGGTGTTTTACTAACTTATTAGGGGTGAAGCTCCTTAGGGTCTAGCCTTGTCCGTCTGTCCGTCCGTGCTCACATAAAATGAAAAATGTTTGTGTAGTCGACAGGATTTGAACTTGTGCGGGGAGACCCCAATGGATTTCTAGTCCATCGCCTTAACCACTTGGCCACGACTGCGGGACGAGTAGGCGGCTCTGAGATGTGGCAGTAACTCAAGAGCTGGGGTTTCTGTCATGGATGAAACGTTGCATGTAGCCGCTCAAACTCTATACAGAAGAGGGGGCTGCGGTCAAATGCGTATATAATCGCGTTAAACTTTGCGTGCATTGGCTCAACATTTACAGACGAGAGGGCGCTGCGGTCAAATGCTCAAATGCGTATATAACCACGTTCCATACCACACATTCTCTTTCTGACATGGACCATTGACTTAAGCGGTGGAGATCCATGCTGATCCGCTAGAAGAACCACTGGCTCTGCATTTCACCACCATAAAGCAGTAATAATGACGTCGAAACGTAACCCGGAACTCAGCACTACCTATGAGCAATAAAAAAAAATCAGCACTATCAGCACTGCCTATGAATAATAAAATCAGTATCATCAGCACCACCACAGCTTCGCCCTAATCAACATCATTCACCACGTGGAGATGCAGTCATTTTTTTATTTTATCTTTTGCTTTTATCAGCCACACGTGCAACATTTTTCTTATTGCTATAAAGTTAACCTTTTCATAATTATGCTTGTATAATAATTATGCTTGTATTCAAAAATATTTTATTTTATTCGATTCATAACCTTTACTATTCAATTCTATTCCATTCTGTTCGCTTTGAAAGGTTTTGATATTTGCGCACCTCTACAAATAAAGTTCTGTGTTTTCGGGTTTTTTTTTTTTTTTTTTTCTAATTCGGGTGTTTTATATTTTTTTATTTTTTTTTCAGGGCTGATTTTTTACTACAAATTTGGTGTTTTGTCAGTGTAAATTTTCAGTGTCAGACAAAGAATTATCGTTTATAGTGGCTAATGTGTAAGAGAACAGGACATGGGTACAGGACTTCCCAACCTCCGGGGAGCATGCGCATAACCCTAAATTACATGGAAAATGCCTCGGTACCGATAAGAGAAGCAGACGGGACAACGGGTGCAGTTACCAAAGAAAGCAGCGACCTTGCAGACACCTCGGTGGGTACAGCGTCTTGGGTGAACACAAAAATAAAGACGTAGATGAAGATTTCTTCCCACAGAGCTTGGGTTCTTCTCATTCAAAAGACAGCTCCGACTTGGGGATTTTCGGCTTTCCCCAAATGTGATAATTACAGCTCAGGGGTTACTTCACGGGATTCGTTCGCATATTCAGAAAACACGTAACCACAGTTATGAATGTAGGGTACTTACTACACACCTAAGTGGAGTGGGAACAAACGCGTTGCTTGCTCCAACTCTAACTCATTTATCGGTGTTTTATACTTAAATGCGCGCAGTTTAATACCAAAGCGTGACGAATTGTGTTCTCATATTTCAACATGTGATGCTAAGATAGTACTGATCACTGAGACCTGGCTTCATCCTGATATAGACGACAATGAAATACTGCCGAATCATTCAAACTTTACATTTTATCGACGCGATCGGAAGGATTGTGGTGGTGGTGGCGTTTTAATATGCATGGATAAGAGTATCATAAGCACACTTCTTTTTGTTCCTATGTCCATTGAGGCCATCTGGGTCTCAGTGAAATGTGGTTTTAAGTCAATCCTGGTTGGCATGTGTTATCAACCACCAGATGCGTCAACTAGTTTTGTAACTTCTTTGCGTGATGAGTTGTCAATTTTGTTCACACAATATACTGATCATTCTGTTTTCTTAGTAGGCGATTTTAACTTCCGTGAGATAAATTGGAATTTATCAGATCTTGTTGGTAGTGGAAGTTCTGGTGAGTGTCGCGATTTTATTAGTCTCTGCCTGGATTTTAACCTTTCCCAGGCGATTTCTTTCCCTACCCGTGTAACCACCACATGTTCAAATATGTTAGACTTGCTTTTGACTAACCATCCGAAATCTATTACCTCTCTCACCGGTTTTGAAGGCATCAGTGACCACAAAGCAGTGTTCTTTAACCTAGGATTTCAAGCACCAGAACCAGTCAGGTTGACCAAGCAAATAAGGCTATATAATAAGGGGAACTACGAGCAGCTTAACCAGGACCTCTCAAGCTATTTCTCAGTCTTCCTGGAGGGTTTTGACGATAGAAATATAAATAAAAATGGGTGCCTTTTTTAAAACAAATTACTGCAACTCATTGAAGCTCATGTTCCAACTATTAACATCAGTTCCCGGTCTTCTAATCCTTGGTATTCGCGCTCGCTGAAAACCCCTAACAATAAGATAAAACGACGTTTTCGAGTGGCCAAAAAACAAGACACTGATTTATCCTGGTCTAAATATCATGAAGGCGCCACTAAATATAAAATTATGTTAGAGCAGCAGAAGCGCATATTCTACCAGGAGACCCCTTCCATCTATGCTACTAAACAACCCGCGCCGATTTTGGAATGTTGTAAATCATGTACCATACTCCCCACTTGCGCTTATTGATGATTCTGAGAACATTATCGAGATTAATCAGTGTGCCACAGTTCTTAATCATATATTTTCTTCCCATTTCACTGCCCACTGTCCCTTAACACTATCCTTACCAATTACTAGCAATGTTTTACCTATGGATCCAATTTGTATTGATTACAAAGGTATTGTTAGTATTATTAAGTCACTGAAAATGTCCTCTTCCTGTGGTGTCGACGGCATAAATTCTAAGGTTTTACAAAGCACTAAATATTCCTCAAGCCTATTTCTAACAAAAATTTTTCAACAATCATTAGATACGGCGGCGGTTCCTGAGGATTGGAGAATTGGCAAGGTCATCCCAGTCCACAAAAGCGGTGATAAATCTTCTCCTTTAAATTATAGGCCAATATCTTTAACTTCTGTACCTTCTAAAATACTGGAGCACGTAATCCACAAGCAACTATCTATTATTCTATCTCCTTCTTTAACAAAGCGCAGCACGGCTTCCGTCGAAACTACTCCTGCGAAACCCAACTTCTCTGCTTAAACAAACGACCTGTTCGCAAACCTTGATTCTCGCTACCCCACTGACGCTGTATTTCTCAACTTCGCTAAAGCTTTTGACAAAGTTCCGCATAACAGACTGCTGCTAAAACTATCGTCGTTAAACCTTGATAATAATGCTCTCTCCTGGATTGAATCTTTTCTCTCTCAGCGTCATCAGTTTGTTCATGTTAATAACTGTTCTTCTGCTTTAGCCCCCGTAACATCTGGCGTGCCTCAGGGAATGGTGCTTGGTCCGTTACTTTTCCTCATCTACATCAACGATCTTCCTCTTCAGGTATCTTCACCCATGTGCCTATTTGCCGACGACTGCGTCCTTTACCGAAAAATAACATCCCCTCATGACTTTTTAACCCTATAAAATGACCTCGACCTAGTTCAGAGCTGGTGTACTAACTGGCAGATGACGCTTAACATCAGCAAATGTAAATGCATGCGCTTCTCTCGTTCCTTTTCTCAAACCTCTCCTGTTCATTTTCCCAAAGGCATCCCTCTTCAACCCACGGATATGTATAAATACCTCGGCGTTCTTCTAACTGCAAACCTCTGCTGGGAAAACCATATTAATTCAGTAGTGAGTTCCGCTAACAAAAGTTTGGGTTTCCTTCGTCGCAATTTCAGATCCGCCCCTTCTCAACAAAAACAGCTCCTCTATTTTGTCCCAGTCCGGTCTAAATTAGAATATGCATGTTCAATCTGGCACCCTCATTATGCTACATTAACAGACTACATTGAATCTGTTCAAAGCCGTGCTGCGCGTTTTATTCAGTCTGATTACTCCAGTTTTTCTAGTGTTTCCCTCATTAAATCCAATCTCTCTCTCCCATTGCTTTTCACCCGTCGAAAAATATCCCGTCTCTGCCTTCTGCATAAAGTTTTTTATTCACCACTTTTAAATCAGTCTCTTCTTTCCCCATCGGCTTATCTTTCCTCCAGACTCGATCATTGCAATAAAATAGCCCGGCCAAAGTGTTTTTCCGCAGCACATCAGCACGCCCCTCTTCCTGATGCAATTGTGGACTGGAATGGCCTTCCCAAAGACATCGTCACCATTCAGTATCCCATCAGATTTCGAGAAGCACTGTCAACCATTGTACTAAACACCCACTCCCCTCTCTAACGCCTTATGGCCCTGAGGGTATTGTAAATAAATAAATAAATAAAGGTCCCTTTGTCTCAAAAAGAGCAACGCGCATAGCGTTCGGTCTCGCGGCAACGATTCGGCTAAGCGTCTGGACTCACTCACCTGGAGGGAGCGAAGGAGACGCAGAAGTGCCGGGTCCCCCAGCCGGACCGCGGCTCGCTTGGCAATGGGCAAGTCAAGAGCCTCCAAGGCGGCACGAGCCAGCGAACGCCAGTCCTCTTCAGGTACGCCGAGGCAGGCCACCTCTAGAGCCTCCCTGGGAAAATGGGCGACCATTCGCATACGTTCGGAAGCATTTTGACCCACGACAAACATTTGCAGGATACCATGTCCTTTCGAGACGGAGGTGAGAGCTTACAATTTGCAACAAGTTGCGTGAAGATGTAAAGCTGTGGTCGAAGTACAATCTAAAACAAAAGGTATGATCTTTACGAGTTCCGTGAGTGACGCAGGCTCCATACTCCTCCGCTCGTTCACGACGCGGCGGTGCAGGTGGTCTAAAAGTGCCCCCTCTTAGAAACTGAAAATAAATTACGATTGTTTCGGCTGAAAGAATGGGGGCGGCACACGATGCTCATAGAGCGGTTGCATGAAATGCCTTTTTGCTTTCGGTAAGCTGTGTCCCGAACGGCGTCCCCCACTTTTCCCATTTGTTTGCGAGTCGACAATGAGTTGTTGGCGTGGCTCTAGGTGATGGTGAAATGTAGAAGCAAGGCGAGTGGCTCTGTCGACGACGGAGCTCGGTCGTTACGGCTGAAGACATACTTGAGCGGCGCAGAACCACGCTGACTCCACTTCTCTCCCTTTCGCTGTCACCACGGCGGCACCTACTGGGGCCATTTTGACCACCGAAGGGTTGACCTCTTGATCGTAGACTCACGTCAAGTTCGTACGAGAACTGGCACGCACGAAACTTAATTCCAGTCAACACTCCTTTACGTTCCCAGCTACCCTGGCCAGCACCACTGATCGCGACGTGAGAGAACTCGAGCAATCCGGAAAACACTGCCTTCATGCGTATTAAGACGTAGGGTGAAAGTTCGTCGACCTGGCAAGAGTTAGGACCAGAAGTAAGTGTGACGTGAAAGTGCCCTATAGAAACAGTCGGTCTTCGTGGCTGCTAGGCACCAATATGTCCATTGCACTACCATGCAGGTCTAAGCAGCTGGCCAAAGTTTTTGAGGTGTTTCTGTTTTGTGCATGCTAACGGGCTTACTTGAACATGTTCTTCTCCAGGTACTGGTACAGGCAAGGAGACAGCGGCACCTCGACGGTAGCCACCGTGTTGTGCTGCAGGCAGAACACCTTGGAGCCGCTGAATCCAACCACAAATCCCTGCAATATGGTGAAACACACCGTATCTACAAACACCGACAATATGCGAAGAACAGAGCATGTGATGAGACATGATGATTTGCAGCGTTAAACAAAAAATTAGCATACTTTCCAACCTATAAGTCCCACCCCCCTGAACACTGGCTTTTACAAAAAAGTCAGTAGATAGGTCACAACTTTGTATAAGTTGCACTTATATATTTGTAAGCACGGCGAAAACGTGTTAGTATAGACAGCATATGTGTAATGTGACTGTGACATATGCACAAACGGAAGCCAGTTCCATTATTCTTATGATGAACTGAACGAGAAACGTAGCCCTTGCGGTATAAAAAAATATAGAAAAAAAAATGCAAATAAGTTGCGCCATTGCATAACAGAAACCAATGGAAATTTAAAAAAAACATGCCGAAGACACTTAATTACTGTTTTTACTCGCATAATGCACACACTTTTTCTCCTGAAAAATTGACACATATCTGGGGGGGGGGCATTCATTACGCAGGGTAACATTTTTGCATTTACACAATTCGTGCAAATCTCATATTAGGTGCCAATATGACACGGCAAGGTACTGTGCCACGTCTCCACTGATAGAGGCGCACCCACGGCTTGTCAGGGACACGGTACAGTAACCGTGCTTTATAAATTGTAAACCTTTTTAGGGTACTTTCGGCGTGCCTTTTAACGAAGGAAAAGCGTCCTATAAAGCTCACTTAGCATGGAGAGCGACATGACCATTCTTAGGCCTAATCACTTTCACAATTTCACTCTCCGAAAGCGGACCACAGACAACGCCGTGTTAGCTGACATCAGTGCATCCGATAGGCGAAGAAGGTCCGGGGCTGGGCAATTCCTCGACCCAAGCTTCGTCAAGTGTGCGCGCTGCTCGGTTTCTTGGTTGATCACTTCCGCAACTACACATTTGCAACCATTACAAGCGGCTTGGCTTGGCTTGACTGCTTGGCAGCAAAAGAAAATTGGCTTAGTGAGTTGGACACAGTTCAAGACTCGCGGAGCCAAAAAATTGGAGGTGTGTACATTACGAGAGCGAAAAACAAAAAAGTCCAAATAATGGTACTTGTTGTGGGGGGTCCGTTCATTCTGCGAGTACGTTCATTATGCGAGTAAATACAAGACTGCTTACGTGTAGGTATGCGAAAGCATTATAGTCCCGCTGGTGAAATGTTTTCGAGTAATGTTTCTACACATATTAAAGTTGTTTCTTCCGGTATTGTATTCGGTAGCCGCCGTAGATGTAGATGCTGCTGCTGATGTCGAGGCCATAGATGTAGACGCGGTCACCTCACAGATCATCGCATGAAGCACACAACGAGCACAAATGAAGTCCTAAGCGTAACTGATGCGCAGGAGGCAGCGCGCCATCTCTTCTTTTTGCAGACGGCGCTCCGGCAGTGACATCATGCTCCCCCACTATGCAGGCGCGGCACCCCCGCCGGCTCCACGGCTTCCTTGATGAAGAATATGCGTTGCTGTGCTTTTCTTTAAGTTTTATCTCTGAGGTGCATCTGCTTTGACTTTGAGCGGCGCGTGCTTGACGACATATTTTTATGGCCATCTTTCGGGCAAAACGCCCATTCCAACTTTTCCCGTAATAAAACATATAGAGCTTTCGCCTTAAAAAAAAAGCGACTTATACGTCAGAAAATATGGTATGTCATATAAAGAAAACACGATATGCGACATTGCGTGACACAAGGGAAGACATTACCAAGCTAGACAAGACATCATGGAACATGAAATAGGACAACAAGTGAGAAAAAACGAGACACCATGCGACACGAGAAAAGGCGTTACGAGACAACTGAAGAGACGTGCCACATTACGTGACGCGATAAACATTATGCGATGAGGCGAGATATAAAATTAGTAACACAGAGACAAGACAACGAGGGGGACACACAAAGACAGAGGACATTTTGCTAGGCAAGACAAGGCATGAGACAAACGAGTCAATAGAATGCTTCACGCAAGGCAAAAATGGTGTAAGACAGAACAGAAGGAAGCATCGCGCAACAGAAGGTGCGTTGTGATAAGGTGACACAAAATAAGGCACGACACGAGTCGAGAAATAAGCCCCTAGGCCAGAAGAAAGATGAGAAAATTCACCGTACCTCCAACCTCTGCCTCAGAACAGGGAAGTCGGCAGCCTTGACCGACAGCGTGCCATTGCCGGTGAAGCAGAGAATGTTGGCGTTTTCCGTGTTCCAGGCCACGCTGTTGGCATTGGGCTCCTGAAGTGGCAAAACAGCAAACATTCCTAGACTTTAATCAAACCACCTAACAAAAAAAAAAAAAAGTTTTTTTTGGTGCATTGAAAAAGATACAAAGGGGTGTCAAAATATAATGCTTGTTGATCTCTAAATTTTTAAGTAATTCAAAATCGCAACGATTGACATACCGTAAACGACTTAATTTTTGCGAGGACCTAATTTTCGCAAATCGCCTACATTTCACAAAAAATAGGTCTCGCAAACAATTCCGGTAAAACATAAACACATTGGAATCTATATTGAGATCCCACCGCGTCGCGAAAATTGGAACCCGCAATTTATTACAAAACTTTAGCTTTGACATAAATTGCGAAATATGGAGCTTGCAAAACATAAGTCACTTACAGTATATATTTATTTTTGCAAAAGTGTCCTCTATTGAGGGTTACCCTTCCACATAGCCCTCAAAGTGTCCTCTATTCAAGGTCACATAGTACCCATTCCGTTTCAAGGCATTTTATCCAGTGTTTTGTCTAGGCTTCAAAACCAGTTTGGAAAAATTTAACCTGAATTTCCCGGCATTACGTTGATCGCCTGCCGCTTACTTCTCAAAGATTTCGGTTTCTCTCTTTTAGAACTTTAAGACCCAATGCCTGGCACTGCTCACGTCCATTACCACATCACCATACACATCTCTGAAGAGTCTGTGGATCTCAACAGCCAAACAGCTTTCTTTCGTCAGAAACTCAATTACGGCTCTGTGCTCCAACTTATCATCCAGAGTTCAATTCATCACTCTGAAAACAAAAAAAACACAGATTATAGTAGAGAATTACCACGAGCATATTATATGCAAAGCATATTATTATAAGTCCAGTGATGTGATTGGCCTAAGCCGGTTTGGAGCACCTTTTGGAGCAGCCAAAGCAGTGTTTTGGAGCAGCAAAAGTGGCCTTTGGAGCAGCCAAAACAGTGTTTTGGAGCAGCAAAAGTGGCCTTTGGAGCAGCCAGAATAGTGTTTTGGAGCAGCAAAAGTGGCTTTTGGAGCAGCCAAAACAGTATTTCGGAGCAGAAAAAGTGGCTTTTGGAGCAAATATTCTTAGAAAAATAAAAATATTTGTTTTAAGTGCTGGACAAACGAAGGGCACTTTGTGCTGTGTTATGACGGAACTCGCTGTTTCTGTTTTTACTGCCGAGACATCCCACAAGTGTGCAGTGTTGTAGGCGTTGCCGAGCAATTCCGAAAAGAACGCTGGCCACCGTTTTACTGGTTCCTGACGTGCCAGATTTTCGTTAAAAGTAAGCAAACGCAAAACAATGGATTGCAAGCGCCCCGGCTGGTGCTCTGTCGTGCCGTCATGTTCACATGCACGTGAGGGCAACTTCAGCAAGCTTGCAGTGGCACGTGCTTCGTCGCGCGAGCAGAGACAACGGCTGTTCAATCGAAACCGAAACAATGCCACTCTGCTCCGTCGCCAACTGGATCCCAAAATAGTATGCGAAATACAACTGTCCAGCATACGACAGGCCGGCAGACGAGGTAAAAGCTAAATAGAAAGAAAAACGGAACCTAAGCGCATCGATGCACGACATCGTAAGCCAGGGCCAAAAGCTTTTTGGAGCACTCTGAGCAGGGACTGAACTTGAGACAAACAAGCGCGCTGTGTGGGTTCAGCGTGCAGACATTGCCTTCTTTGCTTCAGCTCACTTTTCCTCACCAACGTTTTTTTGCGGCAGATTTTTCACGTAGTGGGGTCCCTCTCGAAAGATAGCCCGCCGAGAGAAATCTAGGTAATAAATATTTTGAAGAGCAGTCTTTGAATTAAAGAGGGATTTTTTAGAAGAAGAGGAATGTCAATGAACAAGCTTAGAAAGCGCCATATCTGCAGCAATGTGGGGACGGCAACACCCGACGTCGCACGACCACGGTGACCCAGTGGTCGCGGGAGCGTTTCAGCTCACAAAGTAACTCTCGCCGCGCAAAAACGTGGTTTTGTTTCACAGCATGATGGCATAGCTGGCACCCGACTCACTAGCGACGGAGCGTCCGCACATTCCCACGAAAAAAAAATGTAAAAAGAAGACGCGAGACGAGATTCCCGTGACGACGAAAGCAGCGAGGGTGCGAAACGCGAGACGGCGGCAAAAACCATGCAAGACCGGATGGACGATTGATGCCGGATACTTTGTGTCGGGCAGCCGCTTGCGTTACCTATAGCTCACGCATGCTCAATTACGGTTCTCAGTTTAGTTTTGGTTTTGAAAGGCGACCGAAATTGGACCTTTGGCGCAGGCTTGGCGCAGATTAGCCATATTTTGGCAAAATGTAGCAAGATGTAGCAGGGTTAGCCCCTTGGCGCAGTTTGGCGCAATTGGCGCAGCAATCGCATCACTGTAAGTCGTTCTATAAAAAGGCTATGAGTGCACAGGCATTACTTTTTGACACCTCCTCGTACAAACTCCCACATGACAGATTAAATTCTGGAGGATTGGCTCATGTATCGCAAACTGTGACTTACAGAGCTTTCATGTTTGTGCAGAACAAGACTAGGAGTTGCATCTTCAAAGGCAGAAGACGTTATGGGACATCGACAATCTATAGATCCTGTGCTGTACATGAAACATACTCAGTGAGCATGGCTGTTCTAAATCTGTTCAATCCCATCACACGTACCGTTTCAGTCGACACAACGAAAGAGAAAAAGCAAAAAGGAACGTCAACGCTCGCTTCCCCAATCAAACCATTTCAAAGCAAGCATTTCGACGAAAGTGTCTTCAGACGTGCAGTGTGCTCCCATGTCATGTCCACAAATTTTGTTAGTATCTATCGAGCAAAGCGCCACACCAAATGCTGCAAACCTTCTTCCAGGCTCCATATAGTTAAGTTGGGCTACGTCCAAGCGGTCTCGATCACTGTTTGTACCCCAGCCCTGGCCATATTCGGACGCACACGAGTGCAGTGACTATTAGTAACCGACAGAGTGACGAGAGCAGGTCGTGTTTCTTGGGAAGGTGTATGGTGAACCCAACAAAAAAAAAAGTCGCCCCACTGTGTTGCTGGCTTCCTCACCTGAAAGAGGAGCTGCTTAGAGGTGAGGTGGTACACGAGGCAGGTGCCTTTCTCGTCCACCACGGCCAGGCGCTTGCGGTCCACGCTCAGGTCCAGGCAGCGCACGGGGCTACCCACCTTCAGCAGCGCCAGCGGGAATGGGTTGTCCAGCAGCAGCTGCAGCACCTGCGAGAGGTGGCGGCGAAGAGAATTGGTCGCACAAAGCAAGGAATGTGCAAATTGCGGCGGAGCCCCCGAAATTGTGATGCAGACCATGATTTCAAGTGGCAGAAGGAATGTGTGTGCCATGGCTTGACAGCGTGGCGCGAGCTTTCACGGCACATCAATTTACGCGGTTTGTACCGAGCAGTACGTGCTAAAGACTTTATGCTTGACGTAAGCTATTTTGTGCTGCGTTGTCGAGGCAGGAATAGCTTCCACAGTACTGCAGCCGATCACTGCTGCAAGAGCGTGTGGCTCCGGTGTTGTGTCTCATTCTCGTGCGTTCCCAGGCTAAGAAGGTGCCAAGGAAAGCCACGCGTTCGTGCAAGTGGCTTTGATGGCGTCTGAGCACCGCTGAAGCTACGCCAGCCTCGATAACGTAGCATAAAACGGATGATGCCGCGTATAGGTTAGCGATCGCTTGCACTGGTACAATTTTGTTCTCGTGGCAGAAACACAATTTTCTGTACTTTAGAAGGATGGACATCTTAGAAGCAGAGCATGCTGGTGTAGATGACAGCTTTAAAACGAGGGACGAGGTGACTTTCTAACCAACCATTCCATAAACTCCTCTAAAACACTGTAGTCGCTTTTTCGGTCTGCAGTTGTCTCTTTTACTGTGCTGGTTTTTGGGATTACAACGTTTCAGAATTGCGACATTTCGTTAGGGTTACGTTTCGAGATTACAACATTTTGGTATTATGACATTCTAGGATAACGACGTTTCTGGAAATTAAAGGCGCCCTGCAATGACTTTTTTACTAATATTTAATTTGCACCGAACCTGAGCGCACTGAACGTACTAACTTAATGAAACATTTTTTTTCTCGAATTTCGCTTTTTTTTAAAAGTTATAGGCAAATTAAAATTACGAAAACAAGCAAAAAATAACCTGCTTCATGACGTCCTTGGTTGCTTGAGTGGTCGTGAACTAGAGGAGGGTTAGTGAGCTATGCCAGCGCTCATGGCTGCTGCACTCCGTGTCGACGGCGCGAGAGGGCGCCACTAAAGGATGTTCTGGATAGGCTGTATGCAGCGGGCAGCCAGGGCGGCTAACATTGCATTTGCTGCGCGATTAAACACTAATTCGGCATGACACTTCATTGGCCACAAACGAGAGCAAACACAGGGTAAAGATCAGTTCAGAATGGGAGCCAATTCGCGCTGCCATACCGCGAAACAGCCAAATCGCCAGACAAAGCTGCTCCCCGAAGGCCTTCGGAACGCTCGGAGCCAGTCGGATCCTCCAGTCCCTACGACCGCAGTGCCGCCACGTACATCCGGTACCTTTCCGTGTCGGCGCCTGATCCCACTACTTTTTTCTAGTATGCACCGCCTTTTCTACCGCTTGGTGGCAAGTATGTCGACGGGTCATTTTTTGTTTTGTACTTTATAAACTGCATTTGTTTCTTTTCTGATCTAAAATACTGAACAAAAACAACTTTTATAAACGGTTCTCGCCACTTACATTTTGTATCTCGACTAAAAAGAAGCTTTTAGCGGCTCTGACCAGTAGTAAGCCCAGGACCAAAGACGTCACATATCGCGCGCTTTCGGTACCGCGGGTCGCCCCCGTCGGTGGAGGAGGTTTCCGCATCGTCCGGTTAAAATATGACGCACTGATATTTCGTTACTCTCTCCGTACCCGCTGGCTTGCCCGAACCTTAAGGGACGTGGAAACCGTAAAAAAGGTAGACGCTTAAATATGATTGCAGGGCCCCTTTAACGTTTTGGAGAACAACGCTTCGGTATTATAATGTTCCAGGATTACACCCTCTCAGGGTTACAACGTTTTGATATTATAATGTTTCTGAATTACGACGTCCCAGGGTCACAGCGTATTAGGATTACACCATTTAAGAAACACAATGTTTCTGGACTACATAAAACGTTTCAGGATTACGAGATTTTGGGATTACGACGTTTCGAGATTACAACATTTTGGGATTACAACATTTCTGAACTTTAACATTTCGCGATTATGTTTTGGGATTACGACATTCTAGGATTACGACGTTCCTGGAACTTTATGTTTTGGGACGACATCGCTTCAGGATTACATCATTCCAGGGTTACATCATTTTGAAATTACAACATATCTGGAGTATGACATCCCAGGATTATGACATGTCAGGAATACAACGTTTCTGGACTACAACGTTTCAGGATTACGTCATTTTGGAATTTAAACGTTTCGGGAATGGCCCGCTGACCTGTCCATCCCTAAGACCCACGAGGAGGCCCTCACGGCCAGGGGGACCCCCAAGGGCGCGGATGTAGCGGATGGAAGACGACAGGAGCCACTCTCGTTCACGCACCCCGCCACGCAGCAGCAGGCACTGCAGGCGCTTCTCCTGGAAAACATAGACGAGGCGTTGCGATTAAAGGGTAGACCAGACAACTACAGACATTGAAGACAACAAGAAACATAGAGAGATTCGAGGTTTTCGGCAGGATCCTGTGGCACCCTCTGCATCTAAGGTTTTAATAATATGAAACCATTATCGTACAAATCCTGAAGACTCCACCATTCAACGGCGATAAGACGACACAGGTTCAAGCTCGACTGCTTTAGATATATTTTCTGCCCTCGAAGAGCTCCATACTGGAATGAACTAACAAGTGGTGTTATGATTATAACATCTATTGGTCAAACATGAAACAGTTAAAATGTGGGTGAGCAGGAAAGCAGAAAAGAAAAAAAGCAGAAGAGACACAAAAAGGGGACCAGACAACATTCCTGACTCAGCTGCAGACCTGTTGCCCTTTTTTCTGCATCTTCCACTGTCTGCTTTTTCCTTTTCCACCCCAGCCTTAGGTCATTCCATCATGTTGATTTATCGAGTATTTTGCGAGAGACGCGCAATTTCACACTGGTTAATTTTTTAGTTGCGACTACACATTTTTTTTACGCACGTCTTGAAACCACTTTTGTTATGGCACTTGAGTGGAGCTATAAGGTGTTTTTTTTTTTTAAATAAATAAATAAAAATTACAAAACTATTTCCAGCTGCATTTTGATCCATCAATCAAATCGTTGGTTGAAGAATTGTGCTTTACATGCAAAGAAGCTAACGCTTCTTTTCAAAGATGCATCGGCTGCGTCATCCTCTCGTCCCTCTTCTTTCTTGCGATGATATGGGGAATTCACATACTGACGTGACACAGTGTCACATGAAATGATCGCAACTATTTTTAATGGCGCTCCACTTAAGCATCTCTTTGCCGAGTACCCTAGTTGTCTGCACTGCATTGCCTTTTGTTTTTTTCTATTTTTTGCTGTATTTATTCTTCTTCTGGCATTTACACAGAATGATGGCAGTATAAAAGAGAGATTAATTAATAAATAAATTACTTCTTATCATGCAACGTGTCAGAACAAATGTTGTCGATTGGTGGCGCAAGCGTTTGGCAGGGGGCCAACTCTGCTCTCACGCTTCAGGCTTCAGAGAGACACAAAATCTGTTAGCTTCCGTGAGAATGCCTTTCAGCATTAAAGGAGAAAAAAATAGACCCGTACCTGGCACAGCACCAGGTGCTGCGAGCAGACGACGAGCAGGGTGCAGTCCACCTTGCGGTTAATCTTGTCCCGTAGCCGGTAGTGCATGTCGTTGGGCTCGGGGGACTCTGCAGTCAGCTCGTACACCATGATGCGCTCAGGCAGCTGAACCTGAGCGCCAAGAAAAGTGTGGTTTGTATACAACACACCTAATCTAAGCGTCATTTCAAAAAATGCTACGCTAGACGCTAGCTCTCGGCAACAAAGAACAATGAAAACAGCTAAGAAAAGGGCACAAATAAAGTTGCAAGAAAATTTCGGCTAAAAGTTGCGGCCACTATATCACTGGAGATGACGAGGCAGTAATTATTTGCAATTTTCTGCTGACCTGCTTTTATCACTTCTCAAGTTCTCAAAAAGGACACTGGGGGCACATTATTTATCTGAACACAATCAGGGAGATGAACCAAGAATTAACAGGATTGGAAGTCCATCTTTTCTTTGAGCAACACTAAGGGCACTAACAGCAAGCCTAAGCTGAATTTGCCGTCTTCTGCCGCCCTAATTTCCTCACTTCTCTAGTTCACAAGAAGGTCAACAGGGGCACATTATTTAATGCTCCGCCCCAAGCTTCCTGCCTTTGATAACACTTCTCTGTGGGTTATCGAGCTCTAATTAACGCAAGCAGGAAGATGGACCAAGAATTAACAGGATTGTAAGCTTCCACCTTTGTCAAAGCAAGGCTAAGGGATCACAGAACAAGCCTGTGCTGAATTTACTATCTCCTGCTGCCCTAGTTTCCTCACTTGTCTAATTCCCAAGCGTGACACTAGAGGGTGCATCATTTATTCTAGCACAGGCAGGGAGACAAATAAGGAGTATAGAGGACGTAAAGTTTGTCTCTTTCAAAACAAGGCAAAGAGCACTCACGGCAAGTCTGTGCTTGTAGATGGCCAACTTTTTCACGAGGTCCCGGCACTTGATTCTCACTGGGGGTAATCAACATGCCAACACCACGTCTCTAAGCATGCATTGCATCAACTGATTCTGGTCTACAACTTGTATGATGCCCTTTTCCCATGTCTCACCCTCTCCCCTTCCTACTCCCAACCAAGATTGGCTGCAAAAAAAAAAAAAAAGTGCAACTTCCTTATTTACGAGTGGAAATAAAGTACTATACTTAAAATTTGTGTTAAAAATTCACTGCAAGAAATGACGACAAACTACATATACATATGCCCTTCTTCCGGACTTTGGTTGTGAGTGCGACAAAGTGTAATCATAAGCACAAAGTTCCCACTCCAGGCGGAACACTCACTGGCTTTTTAACCTGTCACCAACTGTAGAGCTTTAAAATGAGTCAATCTGTCCCAATAAGTTTGTTTGAGCATCTGCAGTCTTGCTTCTTAACTAGAAGTGAGCTATTGAATTAAATGAGCAATTACTCATTTAACAACAATGTGCAACAGTCAGATATCTTAACTTAGTAGTTATTTGTTGCTGCGATGTGCTTTGCCATGCCCTATCGTGACATTATATTACAACGACTAGCGCGGATTTTTAAGTACGCTTCCACCGTTCTCGTAGACAACCAGACCACAAAAAGTTAGTATTCAGATCGCCGACCCACAGGCATGTAGCCAAGATTTTGGTTGGGGGGGGGGGGGGGGGGGTCCGCTCATGACAAAATGCTGTATGAGGGGGAGGGGGAGAGGAGGTCCCAGCAAAATGGAAGATTTTGGGGGGGGGGGGGGGGGGGGCCCGGGCCCCATGGGCCTCCCCCCTGGCTACGTGCCTGCCGACCCACCTATGCCAACACGGCGCTCAGTGCAGATCTTGCAGTCGTGTATCACCACTTAACCATCAGCTGTTTCAGGCATACTGCTAAAAGTAATAATAATAATGATCTTTAGTTAAAGTGCCCGAAAAGAGTCACAACAGTATTTTGATCGGTGCATGTCCGAACAAACACTACAAGTAAATAAGTACCATATTTTACGGTGTATAAGTCATGGTTTTTTCCAAAATGTTTGTTTCGTGCGTCTTCTGTGCGTTTTATAAAATATAAATAAAAACCTTAAAGGGAAACTCCGCTTCATTCTCGGTTGTGAAAAACAATGTGGAGATCTTTAGTATCGTCTAGAGAGACCGCATGTCAAATATTAGAACGTAATACCACCTACGAGATCATTAAACCGGTCAAGAAAGACTGTGATGCCCAAGGTCACCAAAATCCACTAATCCAGCAGGCGACGTGTGGCGCAGCCAACGTTGTAGTATTTCCGTTGTGGCTGACGTTTGTTGCACACGCAGTTTTTTTCTTGGTATTTTCTTTTCCAGGGGGAACTTACCAGGAGGCGCTACAGGCATGCTCCACGTTTAAGCGAGCGAAGAGGCGAAAGACAGACGAAAAGGAACGAACGAGAACAAGAGAAACCAGAAGAGGGAGAGGGTGGTACGGGAAGAGCTTTGCTGACATACGTGCCAACAGACTAGCCGCCTGGGTTGCCGCCTACATGGCCTGCTTCGTCACCGCTTGCTTTGCCTGTTTGCCACCGCCGTTCCGCCCATCCTCCCTCTTCGCTCCTCGCCCTTCCCCGTGCATCCATATATTTTCTGGTTTATCCTAGGTAGATCATGCGGCCCCTTGCATTCCACATGGGTGCGCATGCAACTGACGTTGAGGTTACAATGTTGCCCGGCTGTGCCGAAGTTTTAGTTTCGGTTTGTGATTATGATAATAACAAGATTGCACGAAAAATATCTTGGTTTTTATGAGACAAACAGTCTAGGGTTGTTTTGGAGTACTTTTCACGTTTAAATCACCCATTATCCCGAAATTCCCAAAATCGAGCGGGGTTGCCCTTTAACTGCACAAGATATATGCCACATCAACATTTACAACAAAGAATGCATAGCAACCGCCGATGGCGTTTTTGGCGGCCTGAAGACAGTCTGAAGTTGGTCTGAAACATGGCGACATGAGTTTGCGCCCGCAGCGATTCTGTGCACCATTCCTTGCAGCATTCCCTAACCAAATGCGACTTATGCTAAGGTGCAACTTACACAACTACTTTTTCTTGCAAATCGCCGTTTGTAGGGGGGGGAGCGAATTATACAACAGTGCAATGGACAGACCAGAAACAATGATAATCTCTATTTAAAGTGCCTAAAAACAATACAAGGGTGCTCCCCCCCAAGAGCAATTCAAGTAAATTAGTGACTAAGTCAATGCAAAATGGCACCAAGTGGGAGAGGCCGTCGCACCTTTCTCGTCGGTAACGAGATGCTGGATGATGACGTCGGCCATGTTCTCTCGGTAGGCGTACCGTTCCCGGTAGAGGCTGTGCACCGTGGAGAAGCCTAGCTCGTAGTAGGCGATCGTGCCGTCCTGGCAGCCGACCGCCTGGAAGGACGCGAAAGAATGTCACCTGGCCCAAACATTCCGTCAAATGCAATGAAGGAGCAATAGCACTCTATGTGGTTTTAACGCGCGGCATTTGCCGTAGGAATGATATGCTATGCGACGCATGGCGAAGAAATTGTGGATGTGTGAAGGATATCTCGCTTCCTTCATCCGTGCATCTCGTCTTTGAGGGCACTACATTGTTTTCTCTGGAACGCTGCCGCACATGAAGTCTGATTCCGAAATGCCTCTGCGCCTACTAGATTATCCGACTAACATCCAGCCCCCGTTTTCCGTAATCCTTGACACAAAAGCGCCGAGATACTGGTTCTCACATGGGGGTCTGCAAAGCCTTGGGTGTCCCTGAAGGCCTTCCTGGAGTCTCCAAAGCCCTTGACTGTTAGTCGAGCCGAGCAATAAAACATATTTTTTTTATAGATGCTGGCTGTCCCACAAATCTAAATATAGACCAAACCACGCCTGCCAAGTTAGAAAGACTAATTATTCTCTGTTTCCGAGCTTTAAAGTTGGTTTGCACACATTTTGTCGTCTTCATTTACCCCTTTGTAATTGTCCAATACTCCCCCTCCCCCCTGATGGACGGGTCCCCCCCATCCCTTCCGCTGATTCAGAAGGAATCTTCGAAACATCAGCAATCGAGAACCACTGCGCTAAGGGCCGGCTCTACAAACGCCACGTGCATTCAAAAGATCCCTGTACCAGGTGGCTGGAGTCCGGGCGTGCCCGGCAGCACCAGACCCAGGAGTTGTGGCGGGCCACGGGACCCACGCAGACGCCCTCCCGGGTGTACACCCGTGCCTCCCGGCAGGAGCCCCCCACCGCCAGGTAGTCCCCGCCGGGGAAGAAGCTGGCGAACGTGGGGTCGAAGCCCAGGGCCCGCTCCCGGCCGGCTGGCTTGCCCGCCACGTTGTAGAAGCTCAGCGACTGGCCCCAGTCCGCCACGGCCAGCACGTCGGACCCGCCCTCATCGCTGCAACAGACGAATGTGGGATACTTCAACGAAATTTGAAATATTCCCGTCGTGTTCAAAAATAGGTTGAATATGATCCACAGTATCCGTAAATGACAATCGCACGTTTGCATTTCGAGCTTGATGGCTGTATTTTTCGTAATAAACTGCCCACTCTAGCAAGCGCTCGGAGAAGGCCCAGCGGAGAGCACGTGACATCCAACGCAATCATGACGTCGGTCGTCTCTGGACAAGCAAAGCTACGGCGAGGCTGACGTCGAGAGGATGGCCAGCCGTTCCAGCCACCGAAGTGGCTGCTTTTGTACGAATTTCGAGTGACAGGTTAATCTTCTGTAATCTTGTAGGGGGACAATAGCGACTTCTGCGACACACAAAAGGCATTCTCGGGAAGAGGGGAGTTCCTCCTGCCCCTCTTCTCTCGTCGTGGCCGGAGGTGAGCCAATCTCCGTCACTGGCTGTCAAGGTTCCTAGATGGGCATTAGAAGCGAGGCGTTAGCAACATCCACCAGGCGCTCTTTGCTAATCGTTTAATTCGTTTTAAAATTCCTTTTCGAGACTTTTTTAACAAGATATTGGTATGTTCGATGTGATACTGCTCCTTTGAACACATATAGACCAAAAAATGAGCGCCGAAATTTCGTTGTAGTACCCCTTTAAGGCCGGCTAGCATGTTTGCACTCGAGTATGATGGACCACATTGTGCCACTTCCGACAAGAGAACACGCGGGAACACTGGCATTATCTATATGTTGCCCTGGAACACTTTACTCAAATGCAAATGTGTGAGCCACCCTTTAGGAAGGTGACGATGGACGGCTCTGCAAGAAATGAGGCACGAGCGCGCGCCTTTCTCGCTCAAGCTATTCCACCACGTTGGTACCCGTCGTCTGCCCCGTTCTTTTGTGGATCGCCATCAAATATAAATCCGTAAACCCCCGTGCAATATTACTGCACGTTTTGGCTGCCTCGGAAAGGCGGAGCATAGAGGCGGACGTTGGTGGTCTCAAATTGTGGGCGAAGTTTTGATAAACGCTAAGAAGCGGCAAAATATCGCTTTTAAAGTTAGTACTCGGTCTTACGCGGCTTTATTTTGTGAGAAAACGCCGGTGTCATGCGCGGCACGAAGAAAAAGTTGAAGCACTCGAACGTCTTCTATGCGTTACGACAGAACTGGCATGTCCAACGTATATTCGGCTGCTTTCTTTGTCCACTCTTCCGTCACACTCTTTCTCGCTCTTCCTGTTGATACCACCGGTGTCGGCGCTTACAATGCGCCACACTCTGCTCCCGTCTTCACCTCCCTGGACGTGGAGGTTCGTCCATTCATTCGCTGTTGAAAAACTCGCGTGATGCGATGGCCACGTTCGTGCAATAGTTCGGCTGCATACAAGATATTAGGGAGTTTTAGAATAGCGCATGCTAATGCTTTGCGTACGCAAAGAATAGCATCGTCGCCACTGGGCATGCACTGAACGCTAACCACGTTTTGCGCTTTGCGTGCGCTATTTTATCGTATGCTATTTCTGGGAAATAGCGTGCGCACGCAAAGTGTCTTTGCACTCCTCCAAGGAGGATTCCTGATGAGAAGTTGGCTAAAGCCAAGACGAGCCCAGTTAAAAAATGGCGGCTCCCAGGACCACGGCCTCATGGCTGCAGCTGCTTTAGCGGCGATGTCCTCGCCACTGCGATTTTCAATACACGACGACAACGTGCAAACTTTTCTCGGCAAAGGTACAGTGTGCGAAGGTCAGTACACGAGACCTCTCTTGCCGAGGCGACGCCACGCAAGCGGACACGACCGGTCGACCGCTTGCGTCGCATTCTCATGTTTAAAGAAATCTAATATGTTACTCTGGACCAAAAAATTTGTTTTTTCTCAGGTTACAGAATTTCATGTCTGAAATAAAAATTGTGATTTCATACTGGTGGCGTTGCAAGCGCGAGATGGTTGGGCCTTTGCATCGCGGCGGAGAAAAGCTATTCTAAAAGTCTCTTGCGTAGTGTGTGCTAACTCAAGTGCTGAATTTAATGCTAACGTGCATTAAAATTGCGTACGTTATCCTAAAACACGCTATAGTTTGTGTTGGCAATCCTGCAAGCACCCATACACGAGCTGCAAGCAAGCACGACCGAGAGAACCTACATGCTTCCTGGTGTCGCATCAATGCGGTGCACCGCTTCAAAGGAAGGAACACTTCCCTCGGGCTCTGCTTTCTTTTTGCATATATAAGAGTAGTACATGTAAAAAAGCCAGTGGAAATAAACTCAAGAGGGGAAAGTGTCTCCCAGTCCAGCTCGTGAAAGTTCCCCTTTTTCTACTTTGTGCCTACTTAACAACATGCTTGTTAGGTCTATACTCCGTTCACACTTTAGCTGAGACTGCAGCCAATGCTACAGGCGCGAGAGCACGATATTGCGGCTTTGAAGCCTTCGTCCACAGAACGAACGCCCGCGCTGGAAAGGCATGTCTCAAAGTTAGAAGCGCGGACCAGCTCGTGCTCGTAGCTTTGACTGCGATCTCAGCTTATGAGTCTATCACATGACCACACTCAGCCATAAGAGCTCAAATTGTAACTGTTCATGGTCAAGTCAAGTGGTGCATTGGCAAAGCTACGTGAAGAATGTACTCTTGTAGTGGAGATTTTTTTCTCCAATAAAACAAACCATATTCCAATCACTTTTTGCACTTTAAAGTCTGTGTTCCTGATCAAACCAAAACTCTCAAGATCTTCAAGATCAAACAATCTACAGACAAAAGATTTTTGCTGATCATACACACTTCACAAAGAGGTGCAAGAACAACCAGCCCATCACGGCTTCCAAAAGTCTTCTGGTTTCAGCCCTACTTCTTCCGCTCCAGATCCCGACCTTCTTGTCCGGCATGTTGAAACTTCCGTCTCCATACCTGTCACTTTCCTTCCAAACTTACGCCCGTCTCTCGACGACCTGCATGAAGCTGTCCGACTGATTCGGCCCTCTCACTGTGCTGGGCCGGATCGACTTGCCCCTGCTTTCATCGAGTCTTTTGTATCTTTATCTGTGCACTCATTTTCTCAATCCTTCCTCGACCACTCTTACGTGCCTCCCACCTGGACGAAGGCGCTCGTGACACCAGTCCAAGAGGGGAAGGAGAAGCCTCCCAGCGATCCTTCCGGCTACACGCCCCCCTCTGCCTCAACGATCCTTACAGCTACGTCCATCCTCTGCCACACGTTTGAACAAACTATCGACCAGCACCTCTCTCGTTTTTTGAACAACAATAGCTCCTCTCTGTCTCCCAACATAGATTCAGGCCTAATCAAAGTTGCGAGAAGGCTCTCGGAATGGTAGTGCACCGGATCAGCAACAACCTGAACAACCTGGACAACCGCAGCCGGACTGACATCATCCAACTCGATCCTTGCAGCGCATTCGACTCCCTTGACCACTCGATCCTCCTCCAGAAAATTGTGCTACCGGGTGTCTGCGGTCCCCTGCTACCCCGGCTAAGCCGTTTTCTTATCGGTCATCCCCACCGTGTATTGTTTCAAAACCAAGTCCCTGAAGAGTTGGCAGTCACCTCTGGGGTGCCCAGGGCTCGGTTCTGGGACCGACACTCTTCCTCTTGTATGTCAAAAATGTGCCTTCATCTCCAGACTGTCTTCTGGTACAGTATACAGATTGCCCCAGTTGCATTGCCCCCGTCCCTGTCGGCTGCCCAGGGTCTCCTTGACGAGATTGTTTGCTGGGCAAGGACAAACTGACTTCCTATTAGCCCCCAAAAAGGCGCTGCAACACGGATCACCAATTGCCGCTCCACTGTCGTTCCACGTACTCCCTGTCAGTCTCCCCGATCCCAAGTGCCTTTCTATCCGGGGAGCTGCCTTCACTATCGCTGTGGACTTTTCAACACACATCGCTGACAGAGTATCCAAAGCCTGCCGATTCTTGGCTTTGTCACACTGATTTAGAGGAATCGGAGACTTGAAAGGTTTTGTGCTCTCTACACTGCCCTGGTCCTGCCCAGGCTGGAATACTGTTGCTCAGCGTGGAGCCCTTTCCAGGCTCACCTCATAGACAGACTCGAGGGTGTGCAGCGCCAAGCCACCCAAACTCTCCACTGTCGGATCTCAGGTCATCAAAACCTTGTGCTGCCACACGAGGCTCGCCTCAAAGCCCTAAGGTGGCACAGCCTCCATCACCACCGGACAGAGGCAAGGGTTGGGTTTCTTTACTGGTTGCTTTACGGGTCCATGGAGGGCACCCACCTCCGCTCTAACATCAGAATCGGGAAGCGTATTGGACGACCTGAACAGCAGCATGCTCGAACCATACGCCACTCCCATTCTATGCTCCCAGCTTCCCTCAGAGACTTCCTTACAGACCCTCTGTTCACTTTCCATTCCCTACTGACTGAGCAGAGTCGGCTGCCCTATGCCAGGCATTCTCGCACTCAAAACACCTTTAGTAATTCACCGAATGTAATCAGTGTGTAAGTTTCTGAACTCTTGTTATTGTTTTGTTGTTATTTCCCGCCCCAGGTGGCAGGCTAACAGACACACCATCGCACGGGCTCTCGCCTTTCTGCCCTAGCCTCGCAAGCAACCCGGGGTAACATTTCCCTTGCAATTAAAGATTATTATTATTATACTTATTGTTATTATTATTATTATTGTCGCCACGACAGATCTCAAAAAAAAACCTCGAAGAGAACACACTGGAAAATTTCGAAATGTCAGTGATCTCAAGGTGATAAAAAAAAGAAGAGATCCCTAAATTAGTGGACGGTATGTCTCACCGTGTGGGACTCCAGCAGACCCCCCAGACAGATGCCATCACGCCTCCAGGCCGGTCTATCCGGACTATCTCTTCGCCAGACTACGAGAGAACATGCAACAACTAGATAAGTACCACTGTCTCAATAAAATGGAACCAGATTTTCCAGTGTATAGCCTGTAAATGCAAATATTGGCTAAAAAAAGGAAGTCGTTTCTTAGATAGTTTGCACTCACAGCATGGTCTGCACCTAGTGAAGACTCCACATGTAAAAAATTCTCGTACACAGCACACCTTGAACCATGGCTGCCTTATTAATGCACAAAGAAGCTCATATCATATATATATATATATATCGGCATTAACATAGGTACTCTTTCAATCACAAAATCTGTGACGTCACATCAAAATGAAGTATCCCGAAAAATATACAAATATATAGTTCCCACCTGTAGGTAGCTCCACACCACATAAAATTTTAACTTTTAGACATGTATAGTCCGTGGACTATAGTCTGGAGAATATAATATGTAATGTAAAAACTAAAATTTTCTATTAAAAAAAAAATGAAACAAAAGCTATCGTTGAAAGAAAAACGTGTGACATAGCAAGACAAAGATCGACAGTTGCTCAATTCAGCAAGAAAATGTTTCCAATGCTCGTCTTTTTCAAAATTTCAGGGGCAAAAAAGCGGACAGCGTGAAGAGAGAACAGTGTTTTCTTCACTGCAAAAATAAACCATGCAGTGTCGTATGCTCAGCCTCCTCCTGAAAGTAGTGCTCACAGTCTGGACCAAATGCCAAGGTTTCAAAACTTGCCAATACCTAGCTAATTCAAAAGTTAAGTGATTTTTAACAATTTCTAATGAGAACAGGGCAGTCACAAGGTCAGGACAGAAGTGCATGAATACACGGAAACGAACAACGTCTGCTACTGGGAATGAGCTGCATTTTCTAATTAAAAATTAGAAAAAATCACTTGTGACTTTGAATTCAGACAACACTAAATCCTGAAATTTCGGCACCTGGTTCCAACTGCTAGTGCCACATTCTGACGGTGTCTGGGCATTCAGCAAAGCAGTTTATTTTCACGATGTCAAAAACCACGGTTCTTTTTTCTACCGAACCGCCTTTACATACTTCCGAGCTTGCGGCCTGGGACAAGATAGTCAAACTTTGTACCAATACTACTGAGAAGAAAATAGGCCCTTCCGGAAAACCCCACAGGGCCAATCGTCGACCCCACAATGAACCGCACAGCGCGGGGAATTGTGGGGCCATCCCGACGTAGGCTCGGACCCGTTCGTATACTCTCCTTACGTCCTGGAAGCGGCGCAGTTCCTTCTCTCTTACGACTGAGAGTTCAGAACACAAAGAAAACGGAGCAAACACAACACAAAGTCGATACATACTTTGTTTCGTCGTCGTTCCGCTTTCTTTGCGTTCCGAAATCGCAAAAAGCTGGAACAATGTGAACTGCTCCTTCTGTTAACGGGTGCTCCTACAGGCGCCATACGTCGGATCGCCGTAGTGCGTCAAAAAGACAACGGGGGGTGCCGCGTATCTCCAGAATTACCTACAGTCAAACCCGTTTATAACGAACAGCAGGAAACGCTACGATCAGTACGATATAGAAAGTAATTCGATATAGCAAAAACCATTTACAACGAACTTCCACCATGCGTTTGTTGTAACCAGAGTTTGTTCTTTTAGCTTATCTCCCTTTCTGAATTGCTTCTCTTCGTGGGCAACCATTTTGGGATGAAACGATTTGGTTTTCCTATGCGTGAGTGCAGAGGGTATTGATTTAGCGTTCTGCCCTTCTGAATCGCTTCTCTCTGCTCTTATTTGTTCGCAACTTGAGCTTTTAAAATTTTCTTTCTTTCCTACTTTTTTTGGGGGGGGAAGGGAGGGACACGCTAGAAGACGATTGTTTGCATGTTTTTGGAAGCCTTCCCAGGGGGAAAAAGTTTGATATAGCCAATATGTTGTTTGTTATAAAAAGTACTTTTTACATACCTTTTTATTTAAATTTTTCGTGAGTTCAATATCTACAATAATTCGCTGTATGGGGGTTCGTTCTAAACGGGTTTCACTGTATTGGCTCGTACCTTTCCTCTCCAAACCTTATCGCCAGTGGATCCACGCAGAGCCACCTGGCAGGGGCGTAGCCGGGGGGCAGGGGGGGGCTTATGAAACTTCAGCCCCACCCCGAAATCCAGCCGAACCCATAATATACACATGGATTTTGACCCCCATCCCCCTCTCTGCACCCCAAGTCATGGACATCTCAGCCACCTCAGCCCCTTCCCCCGCCCCGAAAAACATTCCTGACTTCATGGCGTAGCCAGGAATTTTTTCCGGGGAGGGGGGGGAGGGGCTGAGGTGCCACCTAGCATGCGTGCGTGTCGCTGCAAGCCCGCCTCGTGGAACGCGCGCGGCATGCTATCACAGAGTTTTCCGCAACTGCTTAGGGCGGGTCGGGGACCTACTAATAATGACATGATATGCAAGCCTCATCTTCTACATGATGCTGTTTGTACGCAGATGCGAAGCGACCTCTGTAGCGCGCAAACAGGGTACCGGTTCCTTCCGCTTGTTCTCGATTTCAATTTCGCGACTGCATGCTTTCCAGCGAAAACTGGGCGTTCCGTTCGGCGGAGACGAACCGACGTCACGTCCAGACTAAGACGGGCGGTCCTGTCGCAGCTGACGACTCACCCTTCCACGTATGGTGACGCTACCGCACGCCAGTCCCAGCGCCAAGTACTGTCCGTCGGGATTCCAGCTCGAACTTGTTACTCGGCCGCTGGTGCGGTGCTTCGAAACCGACTTTTGCTCCGACGACCAGAGGCCTGAACAAGTGAGAGAGAGTGCAAAAACTTTGACGCAAGACGTTTGCGATTTCAACGGACCCAATTTTCCCAAGTGCCCAATTTTCCAAACTATGATCTGCAGACTATACATGTTTAAAAGACTAAATTTTATGCGGTGCAGACTATCTACAGGTGCAGACTACGCAAGGACTTGTTTTTTTTAGGTCGCTCATTATGACAATACGTTACGGATTTTGGAGACGACAAGAGTACCTATCTTAATGATGACTTCTGTATAATACAAGCATTTTTGTGAGCTAATAAAGCAGGTATTTGTCAATGTGTGCTATGTGTGAGAATTGTTACCTGCAGATTGTTAGAATCCAGGCAAAGCTATCTAAGAAAAACCTTTTTTTTTAACCGAAATTTGTTTTTGTGGAATTCATGCAGAAAATATGGTAGCTTATTTTATTCCTGGCATGAAAGTATTACTTGGGATAATATTATTGCATGCATAGAATGCTAAAGTATGGCTGCCTTTCTGGAATTATTCTATCAGGAAGGCTCAATCAACAAAATAAGAAAAGAAAGTACATCTCTTACGTTTTATATGCCATTGCACTTTTGTTTGCTTCAGTGTACAGTTCGCAATTATTTCTGTGATTTCTCGTAACTGATTTTATATGCAAAACTTGCATTCGCTCGGAAGGAACACCGATCATACAATAATTTCATCGTCGTAAATATAATGTCTGATTTATAACATTAAAACCTATCAGGAATATCGGGTGTTTGTGAGAAATCCGAATCTGGCTTTTCGCACCGTAAAAATAAACTAGACGTCGCGGAGAGCTCAATCTCTGTCAGGACGTAGCCCCAGCCGTTTGAGCAAGATTCCGAAGTTTCAGCACTAACCATTACCTTATTCAAAAGTTATAACTGATTTTTTAAAATTTTCAATGGGAAAATGGGGGCCATTTTTGCCCGTTTTCGGTTTCTGGTGCCATAGAGCTCTATGTATTCAAGACCTCCGTCGGCCGGCATTTTTCCATTGAAATTTTCAGAAAATCGCTTCAACTTTTTAATAAGATAACGGTACTTTGGCATCTTGCTCGAACGGCTGAGGCTACATTTTGACGGAGTTGGAGCTCCTCACAATGTTTAGTTTATTCTTGCGGTGCGACAAGCCGGGTTCGGATTCCTCACAAACACCCAGTATGACAAACACCTATGACAAAAACAAAAAAAAAAAGCCAAGCTTTGCATAAATTGCAAAAAAGGTAGGAAATGCTGACAACAGATAGGTGATTTGATGAAAATTTCTCGCAGTGCAAACAAAAGAATCTCGCAGAACGAAGGAAAAAGAAAGCCAAAAAATGATCTCCAAAAAGCGGGACTCACCAAAGTCGGAACAGGAACAGCTCACCAGGATGTGAGTCACCGGGTTGTAAGACAGGCACTGAATCGAGTCGTGGTGACTGCAACATTCCGCATTGCACTTGATTAAAGACCAGACTACTCACAATCAAAGAGTGCCAAGAGAAGTTAAGTTTTGTCTAGGATGGTTAATAATTTACGTTCGTTCATCGCAAGAAATATTGACAAGCCCCTCGGGTCTAAATAAACTGAATAGGTTTGCACCATTTAAAGTTGAAATGATATTGTGATGCTAATGGCTAATATACAGCCACATACCGTAGAATACCGCACATCCGCCCATTCCACATTAAGCGCCCATATCCAAATTTCTAAGATATAAAAAAATATGCACAGTACATTTATATGTAAAAGCGATGACCGGACAAGCGCCCATCCCCCATTTTTTTTGCGATTATCTCTAAATTTTGAGTGGGCGCTTGCCCGGTATTTAACAGTAATGCTTTTTGTGTACAGGCATGAATACACACATTCCAGGGAAAAATGCAGTAGTAAATTCTTGCCTTTTATGTGGTGCTTATTTTCCTGGTACTTATCAGAAAATGTACAATACGCGACTTTGAGGCACATTTTTTCAGATTTGGTCGGCGACAAATTACAACAACCGCCGACGGAACAGCACGGCTGATCGTCGCACACTTTTTCAATTCTCAAACCCAACATGGCGAGCATATTTGCGCCGAGTAACGCATCAATTTTCGATGTATCGCCTTCTCCTTCGTCGACGTGTCGACTGGAAACGAAGAGGCACCAAGAAGACTGGTTCCGACAAAGCACCAGCACTTGCTGAAAGATAGCAGCCAATACGGCACTTTTTGCTTCACTAAAAGAGTGCGCAAACTACAAATTCCACTTGCCACTTCGCATCAAACACTTTTTGCTCGTGGTTTGCTTGACGCCGGAGCTGGCGTACGAACAGTCAGAGAGTTCCATTCCCGCTCTCGATAGACCCCCTGGATCGCACAATGTTACTGCCAGCTTAAGAAACTTGGAGCATGCAGGTCTTGAGCATATCATCAGAAGTCCTCAGCCAACAAGGTTGCAACGCTGGACAGCGAACCACGAAGAGATACACATGAACCTATGCGGAGCGCAAGTATTGTCTGCTACTTTTGCATGGGTTGCTGTGATGTCAAAATGCCGAGTAGGTAGACCTGAAGGCAGCTTGCTTTGAGGTCTACCCACTATCTTTCAATCGAAGCCAATCAGAGCTCGGCGTTTTGACGTCACCACAACTGCTGGAAAAGCAGCAGACGATACTTGCGCTCCGGATACTCTGTGTCACTAGCTGCATGCAGTATGGGCGAAGGCAATGCCAGGCGAGGGGAGAAAGGGCAAGCACTAGGAAGGCTGAGAAAAAAGAGAGGAACCTCCTCTACTTTCTAACGTTCCTACAGTTCATTGTAAGTGATGAAGGTTGGGCGAGAGAAAGAAAGGCCAGGGAGGAGGAAGCAGAAGGAACGATAGAGAGGAGGAGGCTTCCCCCTCTCGTCTCCAGCGTTCCATCTGCTTTCTCCTCCCCAGCCTTCCTTTTCCTTGCCCAACCTTCTTGAGTTGCAACAGACTGTAGTGCTCTCCTTTTCTCCCCTCGCCCGCCCTCCATTGTCCTTCTTTCGCGTCTCGCCTTCCATGCATGACGTTGCCTTTGCCTGCACTGCCCACAACTAGTGACACGGAGTATAATAGGCCACATCCGTGTTGAAGCTGACATTGACTACAGCCTTTGGAGTGATGAGAACGGTGGGGAGGGGCTTTAGCTGTCCCACCTCTAGTACAAGCTTTCTACCTTCGATAAAGCTTCGACGTCTCATGAGCCTTGAGCACGCACGCGTAGCCAAAGCGTGGCTCAAGGCAGCGAGCACATGTGGGAGGCGGGGCCTTTCAAAAAGACGCCCCGTCGTTCTCACCCCGTCGGCGACAACAGAGTATCCGCTTGCAGAGCGGCTCTGGCACGGCTGCACTCACGTACGAGTATTTCAGGATTCCCTCGAGCTTGGCCGTCCAGATGATGACCTGCTTGTCGGCCCCGCCAGACGCAAAGCGCTTGCCGTCCTTGGCGTACGAGACACAGTACACAGCATCCTTGTGGCCCTTCAGCGGCTGAATCAGCGCACCATCTGACGTGTCGTACACCAGCACCCGCGTTCCGGCGGCGACGATCAGCTGGCTGCCGTCCGGCTTGAAGGACAAGTCGTAGATGCTGACAAAGAGGAAAAGCCTGTTCGCATAAACAGCTCGGCGCTGACTTTCTATGTCAGCGCTGTATCGCCCTTTCGCGCTCCCCTTGGAGGAAGGAGAAGCTCCTCCTACAAAGCCCTTCACTCTTTCCACTTCAGCACAGCGAACGCTGGTGAAGAGTGGAGTGGAGAGGGGGAGACAGCCAATATGGTGAGCAGAGAGCTTTGTAAGAGCGAACACGGGTCCTCGGTGCGCTGCAGCACGCAGGGAAAGGGGCACGCAACTCACCACTGTTCGTTATTTTCCCTGTCGTGAACTTTGTCGACCCAAAGCGCGATCGCACGCATTGTGGCGAAAGCGCTGCCGAAATGCACACTTCGAAACTCGTGTTGTGAGTACCGGTTGCTATGGTTACCAAACATCACCAGGGAGAGCATTAGCTGACCTACGTTTTCCGCCGTTTCTTGGCAGAGCGGAGAGTCCAGAAATGAGCTTACAGTAACCGGTGGAAACTGCCACGTAGAAGCACGCGAACTTTCTAAAATAAGGGCTGTAATAATCACCCGCGAAACATAGATCACGAAATTTGGAAGAAATGGTGGAAATGGGTGGAAATGGTGCGTTAGCTCGGCAACTATGAGTGCTCCTGGCAAGTACATCCGATTATGCGAAGAATTTGAAGCTCGAAATTTCCGCTTGAGAGACACGATACTCATTGGAAAACTTTGGTGACACAATAAACCGACTTCTGACGGAGAAGCAACAACTGAGTCCTACTGATACTCACAAAGTAACGTGAACACCGTGACAAGTTAGCGATGTTACGATAGAACTCGATAGCTACATGGCTTGCTGCTGCCTTCACTACAAAGTGCACGCTAAAGAAGGTCGTGATGCTGACTTACCGCAAGTGCCATTATTTAACTTGGCTCTCGAATAAGTCAGTAATCACCGAATTATTTTAACCACTTCCAACTTCAGCAGTCACATACATTCACGGCGTCACCGGCGGCACGTCAAAACGGTCAAAACAGCAGCCACAACAGTGCTGTGCTGGCTGTGCTGGCTGATCGGTTTGCTTCGCCAGGAATCCAGAGCCTACTGCAGGGAGTGAACTCGTAACCCGAACCGACCGTAAAGCAACTCATGACGTCAACGTTGCGCGCGTGCAACGGCTGATGGAAGATGCACTCCTATGACGTCATCGATTCCGAAAGCTCACTCGAGTTAACTCTCGCGCGTCCCTCCGCACAATTCGTTCCTCCATGGCGCACAGATCCGACCAGCCGTCAGGGCGGGCGCAGGGAGTAGGGGTCCGTGCCATCCGTGCTTCGTAACATGAGATCGGCCTTCTAAATTTAGCACCACTTTTCGGCAATGACGTCGTTGGCTCCTTCCGCACCCAGTGCCTCGGTCGCCGGTTGACAGTGTGCTGCGACTCCGTCCACAGCAAAGTTTTCCACGACGATGTAAGTGTTCATACGGTCTCCCATCCGGACATCGGCACACGCTCACAGAGGAACGAACATCTCCAAAGTTTTAAACACCCCACGTGATCCGTCCTCCTCATCAGCCAAAGTACGTTCCTCAGCTGTTCGGAGGAGTCGTCGTCCCGCGACGCAAGCGATACCGGGGTCTCCGATGCGGCGGAACGGCGGTCTCTGCGGTGCTGTGATCTCTTGATTTGACAGATCATCTTGATTGGCAGATTTAATCGTTGTAAAAAATTACTACATCGCGGCAGTCATGGTGGTACAGGAAGATGTGGAACCTACGGAGCAGAAAGCCTCGTCCGACAAGAAGCACAAGCTGCGTCAGCGGTTTCAGGTGGTACGAAAGCTGGGACAGGGCACCTATGGCAAAGTTCAGCTTGCCATCAACCGGACGACAGACCAAGAGGTGAGATTTGTTCGATTCCTAGAACGCTACACTTTGTTTGTGCGTTATTTCCCAACGTTTCGTGTTTCTGAGTTTGGCGAAGGTTTGTCTCGTCGTTCGCTTCCGATGACTCATACCTCTGGGTCGCTATTTTTTTATGAATGGAATTTACAACATGATGCGCGCGGTTTCAGCTACTGTGTGGTGGTCGGCATTTCTCTGTCTGAAAACCGGAATATTCGCTATTTATATAGCGAAAAGTGTCCGATTCGACAATCCAGGATCACTTGATATTGTAAAACGGAAACCCCTTATTTTAAAATGACGTATACCGATCATGTTACACCGGAGAGAATCAAACAAGAACATGGCCACAGCAAAGCGTGGTTCTGAACTTTATTGAAGTGAGAAAACAGCGCAAAAGGCAACGCATGTTGTATATATCTGCTCATGTCACTTAGAATTGTTCGTACAGGAATGGAAAATTTTAATTTCTGATATACGTTTAAATAATCAAACAAGAACAGTCATGATATCGGATCCGCTCATGCTAGCTAGGTGTTAACTCAAACATAAATATAAGTTTATAATTTCTGATCTCGTGGACACATTGAGTAGAGGTTTACAATTTTAGTATGTCATTCTGCCGGGTGAAATCTGTCTTTGGGTGAAATTACAACTTGCTACGCCCAGCGCTTGCTTCTCGGTAACCGTTTGAGTACGAGCAGTTTTGTTTGGGACACCCGGGACAGCCGTTATGTCACGTGGTGAGCGGCGGAGGCCAAGGTAGCACGGTCGGGGGTGTCATCAGCCGGCTCTGCTCCGCTCTTTACGGCGTTCGAAGGTCTTGCGAGCACGTTGAATCGCATTCGTGGGCGCCCACTCTTTTTTGACTCCCATGTTTCTCTATGGTTTCTGTCGCCGCCTCCCAATCGCTTGTTGTTCTTCGCGTTTTTTTTTTTTTAATGTATGTTTTGTGTATGATGTGCTCTTTTTTTGTGTATTTGTGGCACAAGTCGGTATGCTTGAGTCGAAAATGAAACGCGGAAGCTTCATTTTCTTGAGTTGGTTTTGAGGTTTATTTGGGACTGAGAAATACTGTATCTCTTTGGTCTCAAACTCATTTGAGTGTGTGGTGTCCAGATAACCCACACCGGAAAGGTCGAGGGCGAACGTAAAAGGGGGAGGGGGTTGAAACTTGAAAAGATTCGAAAGCAAAGAGACATCGTCATCTATGCTTTTCGTAAACTCACAGTTTAGCCAGTCAAATCTTTAGATTTGATTTGTTTCTGTGACTACTTTGGGCCCTAACTTGACGTGATAACAAGAATTCAAATGACACCGTCCCACCTTAGGGCTGGCATTTGTAATAGATCAAGAGATCAGGTCACACTGTCGTTTCCGTTGCTCAATTCCCACAGGAATTAACCAAGCTCAACACGTATCTGAAACCGATCAGTTAATTTGACAGTTCTTGATTTCCTGACAATTTTTATTATTAACACCCTGAACAGATACTTACTTGTCTTTTAATAGGGATTTTAGCCTTATCTGTGGTAGTTGCTCCTGGTGATCGAGTTCGCGCACCCTTGCTGCCTTGGAATTGTTTTACATTAAAAAAGGCCGGGGAAGCAAAAAAATAATGCGAAACAAAGGGTAAATGGACACAGATAAGTATGAACTATGTGAATAGGTGAAAGGAGCAGAACTACTTTTCGAGCGAAAAGGAACGACGAGATGAGATCACTATGGCGCATATCCCATTTCTTAGCGCTCGAAACATGGGAATAGGGACTCGGTAGCCGGATGCCAGCGGGCCGCGTGTTTGAGACCCCTGCTGTATCTTATATGTTCACAGAATTTTTGTACTGACTTTTAGGTCCGTTCTCTGTAGCTGTGCCCCATATATTCGTGGGTTTTGGCTGCCGCCATTTTACCATTGAAAATTTCCGAAAATCGCTTATGACTTCTGAATACGATAACGCTTCCTTCTGAAACTTTGGCGTCTGGTTTGGGGCCGCTAGCGCAACATTTGTGCCGAAGCAGAGCGTTCGATAACGCGTAAATTAGTTTTTCAATTAAAAAAAAAAATTACAATACCGAAAAAAAAAATTTGTATATTTTTCTCACAATGTTTTTCTTCATGAGCAGCATCCACAAGAATTAGCCTACATATGCTGAAGATTTCTGTGTCCGTGCGAGTTGCAGACGGATCTGTTTATTTTGCACTAAAACGGCAAAAAAAAAAAATTAAAATAAAATCAGGATATGATTAGCTTGCCTTCGAGACAAGTGGGCATCTTTTTCACGTCCCAGCTACAGAAACAAGGTTATGTAGTTCCTGGTATGTGTATGCAAAACACACACAAAAAGAATCTTGTAGATTGTGCACCTTTTTATACCCTGTTAACGCCGATGACATCAATTAGTCGTAGCATATACTTCTTCATATGATAAGTCGTGTGAGCTCCTCTGAGAACTTCACACGGTTATGGTGCGGGCTTGCTAATCGGAGGGGTCGCGCTAGTCTCACAGTCACTAAGGTCCCTGAGAGTCACTGGCCGCACAGGAAATGAAAAAAAAAAAAAAAAGACATACACACGATTAAATCAAATGGCTGACTTAATGACAGGTCGAGCGGGCACGGCTGTGCTGCTGGTGGTGGCATCTTCGCCGCGCTCTATGTCCTGTATTGTCTCTCGAGCTCGGCGTGACCAAATGAGAGCTCTTTGTCCTGGCATGCGCTCATTCGCGTACGCTATCCAGCCGACCGTAGAAGTCAACGATCCTTCGCGTGGCTATGAGTTTGGGCCGTTCCACTCTTGCTGTTCCGTACAAAAGGCGCCCTTCGACGAAAGCAAAGAACGGCCAAAGCAAAAATTTCCAGGGGGCGTCAGAAGATAAAAGAACCCAAATCCTCGCGTAGAGGTCGAGAGCTCTTCGCGGCTACTGAGAAAAGAACCGCGGCTTTTTATTTCTGGGCCTCAAGACTGCGTTTCCTTGTTCAAAAAGTGACAGGGTATGGAGTTTCTCGGTCTAAGGGGTTGCTGCGGCTGTGAAGCACCGCAGAAGCAAGAAGACAAAGGCAGACGACGAACGAAACGGGTACGGCGTGACGTTGGCGCGTGTCTCTCCGAGCAGACTGTCCGATTTTGTTCTACTTGAGACTTCATTGTACTCCATTGTTGTGGTCCTCGTTTGTGGATCGATTACGGAGTACGCTTGTTAGCTCCACTCGAAACGATAGGGGCCGTCGTTTGTTTGAATTGAAACTGCCAAAAATAAAACAAAAGGAAAAAAAAAAAAAACGCTCGTAGCAGACGGCATTTGCGCGCGAGCTCGTCGTCTGCTAGACAGGCGACCTTCGTTGTCTGCTTCGCGAAGCAAAACGGTCGTTCAGTCAGACTCGTTTAATTAATCATTTATTCTAGGGCGCCATTTTTTTTTTTTTTTTTGACCTTTGCGCAGTTTAGATTTTTGTTTTTATCAATTCGTCTGCTCAGCAAGCTGCTGTCAAAAGTTCCGGCGCCATTTTTTTTTTTTTTCCGTCTCTATTAGTCTTCATTCACGTCTCGTCGGTTTCACAAAGTTGACGATAAGATTTCACGCCGAAACGTTCCACTTTCGTGCGAAAATTTCCGCCTTTCGACATTTCGAGGAAGGTTACGAGGAAGAGAGCCCATCTCGCCGCCAACTGAAACCTCCGCACTCCCCGAAAGCAAAACGATATGAATGGCTAAATAAAGCCTCTTGCGTGGTGGCGGTTCCTCCACCGACCAGACGACAGACCTGCTTGGCAGTGTGTTGGCCGTCCGAAAGGAGAAAAGAAGAAACAAATTCTAACTGTTTTTTTTTTTTTTCTCCCTGATGAAGTAGTTTCCTGCGGGCAGCTTTCGACGCAACCAAAAATCTTGGCCCTGGCCTCTAGTGACGCATGCTGACGTGCACTCACGGCGTCACTTCAGCTATCTGAGACTTTGAGGACTCGCTTGGCCCGCGGGCAGACACCATCGCACATGTCAGGGTGTCGCTGCGTTTGTTTTTTGCCTGCTGTGGCTTGCGGACAGTGATTCAGCTTTCGAAGCAGACATGGGGCTGCGTCAAGAATTGGTGTAAGGAAAAGCGACAGGCCGATATGCCTATAACTTGACAGAGGGTAAACGCTACGACCTGCTTGGGCGCTTCGGAGCGATGGCACACGTGACGGCTTTCTGCAGAACGAGTGCCCTCCGACGGTTCCCTGTCACGTGTCTCCCTGGAACGCTCTGATTGGCTCACGCAGGTCGTAGTAGCTTTCGCCGTTTGCCAGGTTATGGCGAAATGGGGTGCAGTGTGTCACAGTTTGGTGCAATCGTTCAGGCGGTTGTGCAACACTGAGTGGGCCAAACAATAGTACTAGAAAGAGAAGGAGGTAGAGAGATGTTACTTCCCAACTGCCACTGTCAACAAGTTTAGCCAGTGCGCAAGGCCGCACTAAGCAGCCGTCCATGAAAGTGTTCACTTTTCTAGTGTTGTATTGTATCAGGAGTGGGGATGCCACGAACCTACTATGACCTCAAGAACCGTAGTAAATAAAGTACGGCTTCTCGCGGAGGATTGCTAATTTTCCTCTTTATGCCGTGAATTGAGATATATGGAGCTGTATTTTAGAGTATATATGTGTTATCTTATCAATTGTTTCAAACGCCAAAAGCATCGCCTCTGCTCTGCCTCCGACAACCGAATCTTGTAAGAACTACTTCGCGCAGTGTATTGAGCAAAACTTTCTTGATGTTGGAAAAAGTTCGTCTTTATTTCGACCGCTATGTGAATACGGGCAAATTGAGAACGAGCTGGACGCCGCGTGGCGGTGGGGGGTAACGAACTATGTCATTAAACAATACGACGTGTTTGCTTTTCCATTGCGTGCACATATTGGTCGGTATATTCTATAATTTATAATAAACTGCTGCATACACATTTTTTTTTTTTTTTTAGAAGTTAGCACTTGGTTTTTAGTTGCGAGGGTTGCGTTTTATAAT